TTGGAACACTGTAAAGGTTGGTTTCCTTGATGAGGCTACTACTACTACGCTTACTACGGCAGGGGTTTAGGGACACATCCAAGTGAGGGAGTACAAGTAGATAAATGTCTCATGAACGTGGTCCCTGGTTCACCTTTTGCGGTTAATAAAGTTACATTTATTTAAAGTCAGAAGAATATGTATGTGACTTAGGCAATTGGTTCAGAGGACTACCACGGTCTTCCCATAGGCCTCAGTCCCGGTCTCTCTCGCTCTGGGGTTTCTCTCTGATCCCTCCAGTCTCTCTCGGGTCTCTCTCTAGCCTCTCTTTCCGGTCCCTCTCAAGCCTCTCTCTGACTCTCCTTCCGGTCCCTCTCTAGTCTCACTCTGGTCTATCTCTGCTCCTCTACAGTGTATGCTTGGCTTTTAACAGCTACAGCAGCGCTCAGACCTACAACCAACCGGTTTGATATCGCTGGTCTCTCTCACTAGTCTCTCTCTCTCTCTGATCTCTCCGGTCTCTCTCTGGTCTCTCTCTAGCCTCTCCCTGGTCTCCGGTCCCTCTCAAGCCTCTCTCTGGACTCTCCTTCCGTTCTCTCTCTCTAGTCTCACTCTGGTCTATCTCTGCTCCTCTGCAGCTGTATTTTACAGTGTATGCTTGGCTTTTAACAGCTACAGCAGCGCTCAGACCTTCGACCAACCGGTTTGATATCGCTGGTCTCTCTCACTAGTCTCTCTCACTGGTCTCTCACTAGTCTCTCTCACTGGTCTCTCACTAGTCTCTCTCACTGGTCTCTCTCTGGTCTCTCACTAGTCTCTCTCACTGGTCTCACTCTGGTCTCTCACTAGTCTCTCTCACTGGTCTCTCTCTGGTCTCTCACTAGTCTCTCTCTGGTCTCTCACTAGTCTCTCTCACTGGTCTCTCACTGGTCTCACTAGTCTCTCTCTGGTCTCTCACTAGTCTCTCTCACTGATCTCTCTCTGGTCTCTCACTAGTCTCTCTCACTAGTCTCTCCCACTAGTCTCTCTCACTAGTCTCTCTGGTCTCTCACTAGTCTCTCTCTCACTGATCTCTCTCTGGTCTCTCACTAGTCTCTCTCACTAGTCTCTCCCACTAGTCTCTCTCACTAGTCTCTCTGGTCTCTCACTAGTCTCTCTCACTGGTCTCACTAGTCTCTCTCACTGGTCGCTCACTAGTCTCTCTCACTGGTCTCACTAGTCTCTCTCTCACTGGTCTCACTAGTCTCTCTCACTGGTCTCTCACTAGTCTCTCTCACTGGTTGCTCACTAGTCTCTCTGACTGGTCTCACTAGTCTCTCTCACTGGTCTCTCACTAGTCTCTCTCACTGGTCTCACTAGTCTCTCTCACTGGTCTCACTAGTCTCTCTCACTGGTCTTACTAGTCTCTCTCACTGGTCGCTCACTAGTCTCTCTCACTAGTCTCTCTCACTAGTCTCTCTCACTAGTCTCTCTCTCTGGTCTCTCTCTGGTCTCTCTCACTAGTCTCTCTCACTGGTCTCACTAGTCTCTCTCACTAGTCTCTCTCTCTGGTCTCTCTCTGGTCTCTCTCACTGGTCTCACTAGTCTCTCTCACTGGTCTCACTAGTCTCTCTCACTGGTCTTACTAGTCTCTCTCACTGGTCGCTCACTAGTCTCTCTCACTAGTCTCTCTCTCTGGTCTCTCTCTGGTCTCTCTCACTAGTCTCTCTCACTAGTCTCTCTCTGGTCTCACTAGTCTCTCACTAGTCTCTCTCACTGGTCTCTCACTAGTCTCTCACTGGTCTCTCTCACTAGTCTCTCTCTCTGGTCTCTCTCACTTTAGCAGTCTATAACATGTGTGAGGGTTTAACAACACACAGCTGCTACTTCAAGGATTTCTCATCGTAGGTTATTTTTAGAAGCAAACTCAGTGAAAAACAAGGGACCACTGTAAAAAAAACACTGAATGAAAAAACTAGATCAACAAGCTCCGGGTGAATTGCCAAAATTCGCTCTCTCCTTGAATGTGTCCCTGTTGCGTCGCCGTAGGTGACAAAGCAAGCACACAAAGTGATAAACTATATATATATATATTTGGTGTCTGTCGTTGGTTTGAAGATTGAGAGAATATTTTCAGATATATTCTACGTAGATTTCTATATTTTTGGATTCTGTGATTCTGATTTGAACTGCGCACAGACGCACTCCGCTGTTCCGTCAATTCGTCAGACTTCCAGTTCGAGCCCGTGTATGTTTCATTGTTAGCAAAAACTCCAGAGCGATTGCATTTATAAATATAAATATATATATACAACAAAAATAATAGTGGAGAGGAGTTGTTTCTTTCTTTATTTCTTTTTGGAAATGGTTTGAGATATTATTTTTGGTTGTGAATAGAGGCAGTGTTAACATTTGCACCACAAAAGAGACACTTGAGTTGCGTGAGTTTGGAAGATGGGAACAACCACAAAGATCCACTTGCATTGCCATGTTAACGATACATGCTAAGTGCTACATATGCTAACTCGACGATTTTTAGCAAAGGTAGCTAAAGTGGTACTTATGCTAATTGTATCGGTTGTTAGCATATGTAGCTACAGTTTTACATATCATATGGTACTTACGCTAATCCTGTTTGTTTTTTAGCATACTTAGCTACAAAAGAGATGCTATGATCATATTGTTTTCTAGCTACAAGTAAAGGGTGGGGTGGAATGTGAAAGGAGCTGGATGAGAATAAAGGCTAAAGCAGCTTGAATTGAGCTGGCTAATTTTAAGCTAACAGCTACCGTGTTTAGTACTGTTACCTATGCTACGCTAATGTCAACAACTCCTAAACAAAGAAGTGCGGCGGAAGTTATGTTATAAAAGACAGAATAAAGCTAATGGGCTATCCTTTTTTTTTTTTTTTACAAATATTAACATTATGAATTAGCATTAGCTTAGCCTCGGAACTGCAGTGTGTTACGTCGTCACTTGAGGTTTTGAAAAAGGAGAACAAATGCCATTGAAATGAACTAAAATCAACAATATTCTATCTTTTGATTTGGGAAAAGATTCAAAAGTGATAAAGAGGTAGCAGTGGATTTCTGTGGTTGCTTTTCGGTGGGTTTTCTTTAGCCTAGCTTCGGCTTCGGCAGCAGATGTACGCAAAGAATGCATGTTGAAACAGTGTTCTTTTATGGTGCCCCAGTATATTTTTGGTTTTATTTTGGCTTTTCAAAAAGGCCAATACTTGTCTGTCTGTCTGTCCAGATGTCATTTATTTTTGTTGGTTCATATCTGTTCATGGTAACCGTACAGAGCCTATAAAGAAAAAAAATAAGCTAGCTTGAATTTTTTCCCACGTACAGAAAAAATACAAATGTTTACAATGTGTAATATAACGGTTAAATACTTGTTTTGGTCGGTTTGTCAGTGACTCACAACACTCTGACCGACGACTCTTTGATTTCTTTTGTCATTTTCAATTTCTGTTTTTCAAAAATCACTAAAAAAATGTGTTGAGTATTTTGAACAGTGCTCCTTCAAAGTATTAGGCCCAATATTGTCAAAGAACATTACAGTCTAGGCTCCGGTCAGACCGTAAATCATGTCAGCGATCAGTGGGTTTTTTCCCCTTACGAGCTACACAGCCGTAACATCTGAATACCGTATGACAGATTGAGAAAAGAATATTCTAAAAATGGCGCCGTAACCGAAGGAGCACTGTCCAGGCCGTTTTGGTTTCTCACAGTTCACTCTTCTTCTGCTCTTTATCCAGGTTTTCTATGTATCAGTATCTCACCGTAAAAAACGCTTGCTTCAGAAATGTTCTCAGACAGATAATCTTCACTCATTGTTACGAGTCTGTAGGCTGATGCAACAATTTTACAAGACAATAAAAAGATATATGAAAAGTGACTTTGTTTGCTGAGAAAAGTGTTATTCAGCTGTAGTCTGTTCATTGCTATTCACCCATAGTCTGTTTCATGGTGTGATGATGGGACCCCTGAACCCGGCCTCCTCCATCTGCACCTGCGGACTCCCCGGCCTGGACTCATAAGCTGCACTCTCCCCCCGCCTGGGAGCCTCTTCAGTCCTGCACCGCCTGGTCTCGGTTCTCGTTTTACAGCCTCAGTCCTGGGTCTACAGCCTCAGTCCTGGGTCTACAGCCTCAGTCCTGGGTCTACAGCCTCAGTCCTGGGTCTACAGCCTCAGTCCTGGGTCTACAGCCTCAGTCCTGGGTCTACAGTCTCAGTCCTGGGTCTACAGCCTCGGTCATGGATCTACAGTCTCAGTCCTGGGTCTACAGCGTCAGTCTTGGATCTACAGCCTCGGTCCTGGATCCACAGCCTCGGTCCTGGGTCTACAGCCTGAGTCCTGGGTGTACAGCCTCAGTCCTGGATCTACAGCCTCAGTCCTGGGTCTACAGCCTCGGTCATGGATCTACAGCCTCAGTCCTGGATCTACAGCCTCAGTCCTGGATCTACAGCCTCAGTCCTGGATCTACAGCCTCGGTCCTGGATCTACAGCCTCGGTCCTGGATCTACAGCCTCAGTCCTGGATCTACAGCCTCGGTCCTGGATCTACAGCCTCAGTCCTGGATCTACAGCCTCGGTCCTGGATCTACAGCCTCGGTCCTGGATCTACAGCCTCGGTCCTGGATCTACAGCCTCGGTCCTGGATCTACAGCCTCGGTCCTGGATCTACAGCCTCGGTCCTGGATCTACAGCCTCAGTCCTGGATCTACAGCCTCAGTCCTGGATCTACAGCCTCAGTCCTGGATCTACAGCCTCAGTCCTGGATCTACATGCTGGGGAAGCTGCAGACCGCAAGAGACTTAAAACCATATTACAATGTATGTGGTGTTCATTTCTGGCTTAAAATACTCAATAAAACATCAGCATGTGAAGGTCTAAAGTACAAGGCACAGGAGGAGACAGTCATGTGACAGTCAGCAGGAACTGTGTTTTTGACGAGATAAGGCCAACTTTATTGTCCGTTTGGAGACTCTGGAGAATTACCTCTGGGGCACTTTGTTGAGAAACTGGACGAGGAGAATGAACCAACACAGAAAGGTCCAGGATCCAAGTGTGAGAGCTAGAACTAAAATACATAAGGACTGAAATGGGGGAGAATAAGCAAATCCTCTGTCATGAAAGTGGAGAGAGCAACCCCTGTGGAGGAGGTGGGTTTCAGCTTGAGCAGTGTGCGGAGGTGGTGGTAATAAGGCTTCTTGGACACTCAAAGACGCTTTACAAAAGGACAACAAAGACATCAAATAAATAAACTAATATCATATAAAGCTAAAATGAACAGTTGTGTGTAGGCAGTTTGGAATAAGACTTGGTCCTCAGGGTTCAGAAGACTCAGTCCTCAGGGTTCAGACTCGGTCCTCAGGGTTCAGAAGACTCAGTCCTCAGGGTTCAGAAGACTCGGCCCTCAGGGTTCAGACTCGGTCCTCAGGGTTCAGACTCGGCCCTCAGGGTTCAGACTCGGCCCTCAGGGTTCAGACTCGGTCCTCAGGGTTCAGACTCGGCCCTCAGGGTTCAGAAGGCTTGGTCCTCAGGGTTCAGACTCGGCCCTCAGGGTTCAGAAGACTCGGTCCTCAGGGTTCAGAAGACTCGGTCCTCAGGGTTCAGAAGGCTCGGTCCTCAGGGTTCAGACTCGGCCCTCAGGGTTCAGACTCGGTCCTCAGGGTTCAGACTCGGTCCTCAGGGTTCAGAAGGCTTGGTCCTCAGGGTTCAGACTCGGTCCTCAGGGTTCAGAAGGCTTGGTCCTCAGGGTTCAGACTCGGCCCTCAGGGTTCAGAAGACTCGGCCCTCAGGGTTCAGAAGACTCGGTCCTCAGGGTTCAGAAGGCTCGGTCCTCAGGGTTCAGAAGGCTCAGTCCTCAGGGTTCAGACTCGGCCCTCAGGGTTCAGAAGGCTCAGTCCTCAGGGTTCAGAAGGCTCAGTCCTCAGGGTTCAGAAGGCTCAGTCCTCAGGGTTCAGAAGACTCGGTCCTCAGGGTTCAGAAGGCTCAGTCCTCAGGGTTCAGAAGGCTCAGTCCTCAGGGTTCAGAAGACTCGGTCCTCAGGGTTCAGAAGGCTCGGTCCTCAGGGTTCAGAAGGCTCGGTCCTCAGGGTTCAGAAGGCTCGGTCCTCAGGGTTCAGAAGGCTCGGTCCTCAGGGTTCAGAAGGCTCGGTCCTCAGGGTTCAGAAGGCTCGGTCCTCAGGGTTCAGAAGACTCAGCCCTTATGCACACGCCTTGTATGGTTTAAATCATTCTTACACACAATATGTAGCTGATATAAACTTTGTTTCTTCTGCTTCTCTGTACTGTATATATCTCTATTTGTCTCTTACATGATTAATATTTATACAGATTCAGATTCATTTATTTGCCATTTGCAGTAAAACCACATTGGAAAAACTGTGCAAGACTACCCCGGTGTGCGCCAGACAGAGACGACACACACCAGAGCTCTTGCCACGGCGCCATCTTTCCGGCGCCATGCGACAAACAGTAGAATAAACAGCAGAGAGCAATAACATACAGGTTACAACAGACAGTTGGATAGAAAACATTGTGCTTTGTATAAACCACGGATTTTTTTTCGGGATGAGCACCTTCTGCAGCCGGCCCAATGTGGCTGTCAGAGGGGGGCGGGGTCAGGGAGGGGGTGAGCCGGAAACACAGTGAGGAGGGGAGGGGAGGGAGAGATCAGAGGGAGGCGGGGGGAGCGGGATCCAAGCTGGAAGACTGAAAGAGTGTGAAATTGTTGTAGAGTCCAGATTTATTATGATGGCCTTGGCCCGAGGAATGTGAGATAAGAGTGGAGCGAAGACACAGCAAGGAGAAAAACACATCTTCCTGTAACGAGGGACAATATTGTATGCATTTTAGCAGTCAAAAACAGGCAGATATTCTATTAAATCCAATTAAACCGAATTGCGGCGCCCTCAGACCCCGTACACAGGGGCCAATCCAAGCCGGGTCAGAGAGTTCAAGCGTGACACACAATGTCATTCAATCTCAATTCCAGAGTTTTATGCCCATCAAGTGAACGAGCTGCGAGATCTTTGATCAACTGTTCCACCAAAACCACTCTTCTTTGTCCAGCCACAGCGCTCTCAACCATGACTCGGTTAAGCTCCTTGTACAATATTCCGTTTCTTGTATAAAGGAAAATCATAGACATTTGCGAGTGCCCAAACTTTTGCATACCACTGCACATGGAGCACACACACGCACACACACACACTCACATACACGCACACACACACACAAACACACACACACACACACACACACACACACACACACACACACACACACACACACACACACACACACACACACACACACACACACTATAGTTATGAAACTATAGTTATTTCCACACCTGCTGCTGTTGACTCAGCTCCTTCTCTCCTTCATCATCATCATCATCACTTCTCCCTCGTGACCACAGACGGAGCCTCGTGACGCCGCCTCCTCCTCTCTGTCATCAGCCAATCAGCGCCCGGTCCGCCTGCACGCGGAAGCAGCGGCGCCCGATCAAACCATCAAACCTCATCCTCTGTTTATGAACACGTTATTGTTGCTCTGGCACCAGGACCGGACATGAGGGCTCTGCTGCTGCTGCTGCTGCTGGCCGTGTGGGTGAGCTCCGGAGCGGGGAGAGAGCAGGAGGACGCCCGCTGCTCGCCCTCCTCCTGGTGCTCCTCTGTGGAGGCGGCCGCGCGCTGTGGGGTGAGACCAGAGTCTGACCGTGGGGTATTGTTATCGTCTGGTTCAGGGGGAGATTCAGGGGGACGCGCTTGGAGAGAAACTTAACTCTAGAACTCCCAGAGCAGTCAATTTGACGGCTTTTAGTTTGGAAGTGGAAAGACTCTGCGTATGTACATTTTTGGTCTTCAGGACTTTATGAATTTTTCTGTTTCTACAAGTCTGTTTCTTTATGTGACAATATTTTCACGAAATAATCTTTTACTATATAAATGGGTGTATAGTGTAGGTCTACCTATGAAGAGTGAGTCCTGGTTACTATAGCAACACGCCGTTTAGCAGTTAGCATTTAGCATTCGGTCTGTAGCATTTAGCCTTTCAACAAACGGTTTTAGCACTTAGTAAAAAGTAAAAAGTTGCCGATTTGTCGACACAGATCAGAGAATCAAGCAGTTCAAAACACATGAAATACAATGAAAACACATAGAGCCATTGGTCCATAAAGGGGCAGAGACCAGTGCCTATAAATGTTGATAAAGTCCATAAATGTCGTCGAATGTGGAGTGTCCTGGATCATCTCTGTCCTTACACCCTCCTGCCTCGATCATAAATCTCCTTTTGATCAATGACAAATGAAAAATGGCAGATAATCACCAGTAAACTTCCATCTGTGCTGTTGTAAAGCTGTGTCCTGATGCAGGTGTTGCAGCAGTGTCTGGAGGCGAACCTGACCCGGTCCAGAGACACAGCAGAACCAGTGAGGATCGGACTGTACTATGAGAGCCTCTGTCCTGGATGTAGAGGGTTTCTCACCTCCATGCTCTACCCCACCTCTGTGCTGCTGGGGGACCTGCTGGACCTGACCCTGGTGCCCTACGGGAACGCAAAGGTCGGTTCTATTCTTACCGTCATTTCCTAATGACGCGACTAACATGTGTGTTTTTATTGTTTATGGACTTATTTTGACTCTAAAGGTTTGTAGCTACAAGAAACTGGTTTATAGTTTCAGGTTCCAGGACTGAGGCTGTTGACCCAGGACTATCCAGGACTGAAGCTGTAGACCCAAGACTGAGACTGTAGATCCAGGACTGAGACTGTAGACCCACGACTGGACTGAGGCCATAGATCCAGGACTATCCAGGACTGAGGCTGTAGATCCAGGACTGAGGCTGTAGATCCAGGAGTGAGGCCGTAGATCCAGGACTATCCAGGACAGGCTGTAGACCCAGGACTGAGGCTGTAGATCCAGGACTGAGGCTGTAGACCCAGGACTGGACTGAGGCCGTAGATCCAGGACTGAGGCTGTGGACCCACGACTGAGGCTGTAGACCAGGGACGTGCGGTGAGGTTTGTGATTGGGGAGGCACTGACTTTAAAAGTCAGATTTACAATCATTATTCAAATAAAATAGCATTTAATCACCAATGCAATGACATCCACAAACTTTATATACTGTAAAGATAAGAGAACCAGCTTCTTTTAATAATCTCACAACAAATCTAGCTGCTGACTCTGCTCCGCATCAAACAACATCTTTAAGAAGCGCAGGTGCGAGAGACGCGAGGAGAGAGAGACGCGAGGAGAGAGGAGCAGAGAGAGACAGAGAGGAGCAGAGAGACGGAGACGCGAGGAGCAGAGAGAGACGGAGACGCGAGGAGAGAGAGACGCGAGGAGAGAGGAGCAGAGAGAGACGGAGACGCGAGGAGCAGAGAGACGGAGACGCGAGGAGCAGAGAGACGGAGAGGAGCAGAGAGACGGAGACGCGAGGAGCAGAGAGAGACGGAGACGCGAGGAGAGAGAGACGCGAGGAGAGAGGAGCAGAGAGAGACAGAGAGGAGCAGAGAGAGACGGAGACGCGAGGAGAGAGCAGAGAGAGACAGAGAGACGCAGAGAGAGACGGAGACGCGAGGAGAGAGAGAGACGGAGACGCGAGGAGAGAGAGACGCGAGGAGAGAGAGACGCGAGGAACATAAACAATAATTTAAACAAGTTGCAGAACTCTTGAGCAGTGTTTGAATCAGTGTTTTTCGGAAAAGCACTACTTTGCCGGTATCTGTCAATGTTCAACATAAAACACAGATTAACAAACTCCTCCCCCGCAGCCGGACTAACCTCGTAAGTCCAGTGGTGGTCTCCCAGTCTATATTAATTCTTTCTTTGTTTGAAAGTCCAATTGAGAAAAAAAATCTTCATTCAAATCATCCATTTTCCAGCAAAAGAAATAGCATTTTGGGCTGATTGTTTGTTAGCAACTCTGGTATGAACTTTATGCTCACTATCACCCCTAGCGGTGAGGCACAGATACCGCCTGCCTCACGCCAAGCTTTTTCCTTGTGTGTTCATCTACGATCAAAAGACTTAAACTAAATATAAATTGTACACACATACGTGCAATACACTACTAAACACTAAGAGGAGTTTAAAAAATGTTTTTAAAGCAGGATATTTGAAACAAACGGTGATATATCAACTGCACGAGCTGAGTGCACTCAGACACACACACACACACTGTGAGGGAGCGGTCTGAGGTGAGGCACGCAGGAGCGCTGCCTCACCTCGTCTCTTTGAATAGGAATAACGGGATTTCGGCGATTTTGACTTCAGAAATGATCAAAACTGATGGGAACCGTGCCGAATATACATTAAAAGCATAGGACAGTGGATATAAATTATATATTTAAACTAAAATAATTATTAGTTTCCAATAATGGCAGGTGAGGCTCTGCCTCCCCTGCCTCCCCTGACTGCACGTCCCTGCTGTAGACCCAGGACTGAGGCTGTAGACCCAGGACTGAGACTGTAGACCCAGGACTGGACTGAGGCCGTAGATCCAGGACTGAGGCTGTAGATCCAGGACTGAGGCTGTAGACCCAGGACTGAGGCTGTGGACCCAGGACTGAGGCTGTAGACCCACGACTGAGGCTGTAGACCCAGGACTGAGGCTGTAGACTCAGGACTCAGGATTTCCCCTTTGCACTTTGATGACCCAGTTAATAATCCTCTTTCAGGAGTCGATTGACGGAGACAGATACATCTTTAAATGCCAACACGGAGAGCAGGAGTGTGCGGGAAACATGATTGAGGTTCTGCTCTCACACATCTGCACAAACATCTGCACACACATCTGCACACACATCTGCACACACATCTCCACACACATCTGCACACACATCTGCACACACATCTGCACAAACATCTGCACAAACATCTGCACACACATCTGCACACACATCTGCACACACATCTGCACACACATCTGCACACACATCTGCACACACATCTGCACAAACATCTGCACACACATCTGCACAAACATCTGCACACACATCTGCACAAACATCTGCACACACATCTGCACAAACATCTGCACAAACATCTGCACACACATCTGCACACACATCTGCACACATATCTGCACACACATCTCCACACAAACATCTGCACACACATCTGCACACACATCTGCACACACATCTGCACACACATCTGCACACACATCTGCACACACATCTGCACACACACACTCTGCACACACATCTGCACACACATCTGCACAAACATCTGCACAAACATCTCCACACAAACATCTGCACACACATCTGCACACACATCTGCACACACATCTGCACAAACATCTGCACAAACATCTGCACACACATCTGCACACACATCTGCACACATATCTGCACACACATCTCCACACAAACATCTGCACACACATCTGCACACACATCTGCACACACATCTGCACAAACATCTGCACAAACATCTGCACACACATCTCCACACACACACTCTCTGCTTCCATGACCGTCTCCCGTCCTCTCCTCAGGCCTGTCTGCTGAACCTGACCAGCTCCAAGGCCTTCTCTGTCATTTACTGCATGGAGCTGGCTGAGGACCCACTGAAGGCGGCTCGAGCAGTGAGAACTCTATCCATACATTTGTATCTGAACGAATACACACATCAGACTCATTTAGTTGATATTTGCAGTAAAACCACATTGGAGTACATTTGCAAAAGTCCCTAGTGTGTTGTGTGTTGAGTGCGTTGTGTGTTCAGTTTGTGTTGTGTGTTGAGTGTGTGGTGTGTGTTCAGTGTGTGTTGAGTGTGTGGTGTGTGTTCAGTGTCTTATGTGTTCAGTTTGTGTTGTGTGTTGTGTGTTCAGTTTGTGTTGTGTGTTGAGTGTTCAGTTTGTGTTGTGTGTTGAGTGTTCAGTGTGTGTTGAGTGTTCAGTTTGTGTTGTGTGTTGAGTGTTCAGTTTGTGTTGAGTGTTCAGTTTGTGTTGTGTGTTGAGTGTTCAGTTTGTGTTGAGTGTTGAGTGTTCAGTGTGTGTTGAGTGTTCAGTTTGTGTTGTGTGTTGAGTGTTCAGTTTGTGTTGTGTGTTGAGTGTTCAGTGTGTGTTGACCCAGTGTGTTGTGTGTTCAGTGTGTGTTGACCCAGTGTGTTCAGTGTGTGTTGACCCAGTGTGTTGTGTGTTCATTATGTGTTGTGTGTTCAGTGTGTGTTGAGTGTGTTGTGTGTCCAGTGTGTGCTGTGTGTTCAGTGTGTGCTGTGTGTTCAGTGTGTGTTGACCCAGTGTGTTGCGTGTTCAGTGTGTGTTGACCCAGTGTGTTGTGTGTTCATTATGTGTTGTGTGTTCAGTGTGTGTTGTGTGTTGAGTGTTCAGTGTGTGCTGTGTGTTCAGTGTGTGTTGACCCAGTGTGTTGTGTGTTCAGTGTGTGTTGACCCAGTGTGTTCAGTGTGTGTTGACCCAGTGTGTTGTGTGTTGAGTGTGTGTTCAGTGTGTGTTGTGTGTTCAGTGTGTGTTGACCCAGTGTGTTGTGTGTTCAGTGTGTGTTGTGTGTTCAGTGTGTGTTGACCCAGTGTGTTGTGTGTTCAGTGTGTGTTGACCCAGTGTGTTGTGTGTTCAGTGTGTGTTGTGTGTTCAGTGTGTGTTGACCCAGTGTGTTGTGTGTTCAGTGTGTGTTGTGTGTTCAGTGTGTGTTGACCCAGTGTGTTGTGTGTTCAGTGTGTGTTGACCCAGTGTGTTGTGTGTTCAGTGTGTGTTGACCCAGTGTGTTGTGTGTTCAGTGTGTGTTGTGTGTTCAGTGTGTGTTGACCCAGTGTGTTGTGTGTTCAGTGTGTACAGGCCTTTGTGCCAGGGCTGAGTTGGGAGAAGCTGATGACGTGTGCGAACGGAGACCTGGGAAACCACATCATGCACCAGAACGCTTTAAAGACTGAAGCTCTGAAGCCGACGCACACATATGTGCCCTGGATCACTGTCAACGGGGTAACACACACACATACACACAAGCACAGACACACACACACACACACACATACAAAAAGCTAGTACATTGCTATAATAAAACTAGTACATTGTAATGATTGGTGTCCAGGAGCACTCTGAGGACCTGCAGTCCAAAGCCTTTGATGGTCTCCTGCCTCTGGTGTGTGAACTGTACAAGGTGATGTCACTATTCTGTCAAAAACACAGCATTTATGTGAAAATTCAGTTTTTTTGATAAAGTCTGTTGTGTTTTAGGGCGAAAAACCTCCAATCTGTGGAGGGAAGAGCAGACACTTTAGAAGCTACAGCCACAAGTGAAGCTACAGCTACAAGTGAAGCTACAGCTACAAGTGAAGCTACAGCTACATGTGAAGCTACAGCTACAAGTGAAGCTACAGCTACAAGTGAAGCTACAGCCACATGTGAAGCTACAGCTACATGTGAAGCTACAGCTGCATGTGAAGCTACAGCTACATGTGAAGCTACAGCTACATGTGAAGCTACAGCTACATGTGAAGCTACAGCTACAAGTGAAGCTACAGCTACAAGTGAAGCTACAGCCACAAGTGAAGCTACAGCTACATGTGAAGCTACAGCTACATGTGAAGCTACAGCCACATGTGAAGCTACAGCTACATGTGAAGCTACAGCCACAAGTGAAGCTACAGCTACAAGTGAAGCTACAGCTACATGTGAAGCTACAGCCACAAGTGAAGCTACAGCTACATGTGAAGCTACAGCTACATGTGAAGCTACAGCTACAAGTGAAGCTACAGCCACAAGTGAAGCTACAGCCACAAGTGAAGCTACAGCCACAAGTGAAGCTACAGCCACAAGTGAAGCTACAGCCACATGTGAAGCTACAGCCACATGTGAAGCTACAGCCACATGTGAAGCTACAGCTACAAGTGCAGCTACAGCTACATGTGAAGCTACCGCTACAAGTGAAGCTACAGCCACAAGTGAAGCTACAGCTACATGTGAAGCTACAGCTACATGTGAAGCTACAGCTACATGTGAAGCTACAGCTACATGTGAAGCTACAGCTACATGTGAAGCTACAGCTACATGTGAAGCTACAGCTACATGTGAAGCTACAGCTACAAGTGAAGCTACAGCTACAAGTGAAGCTACAGCTACAAGTGAAGCTACAGCTACAAGTGAAGCTACAGCTACAAGTGAAGCTACAGCTACAAGTGAAGCTACAGCTACAAGTGAAGCTACAGCTACATGTGAAGCTACAGCCACATGTGAAGCTACAGCCACATGTGAAGCTACAGCCACATGTGAAGCTACAGCCACAAGTGAAGCTACAGCCACATGTGAAGCTACAGCTACATGTGAAGCTACAGCTACAAGTGAAGCTACAGCTACAAGTGAAGCTACAGCCACATGTGAAGCTACAGCTGCATGTGAAGCTACAGCTACATGTGAAGCTACAGCTACATGTGAAGCTACAGCTACATGTGAAGCTACAGCTACAAGTGAAGCTACAGCTACAAGTGAAGCTACAGCCACAAGTGAAGCTACAGCTACATGTGAAGCTACAGCTACATGTGAAGCTACAGCCACATGTGAAGCTACAGCCACATGTGAAGCTACAGCCACAAGTGAAGCTACAGCCACAAGTGAAGCTACAGCTACATGTGAAGCTACAGCCACAAGTGAAGCTACAGCTACATGTGAAGCTACAGCTACATGTGAAGCTACAGCTACAAGTGAAGCTACAGCCACAAGTGAAGCTACAGCCACAAGTGAAGCTACAGCCACAAGTGAAGCTACAGCCACATGTGAAGCTACAGCCACATGTGAAGCTACAGCCACATGTGAAGCTACAGCTACAAGTGCAGCTACAGCCACAAGTGAAGCTACAGCTACATGTGAAGCTACAGCTACATGTGAAGCTACAGCTACATGTGAAGCTACAGCTACAAGTGAAGCTACAGCTACATGTGAAGCTACAGCTACATGTGAAGCTACAGCTACATGTGAAGCTACAGCTACATGTGAAGCTACAGCTACATGTGAAGCTACAGCTACATGTGAAGCTACAGCTACATGTAAAGCTAAAGCTACATGTGAAGCTACAGCTACATGTGAAGCTACAGCTACATGTGAAGCTACAGCTACATGTGAAGCTACAGCTACATGTGAAGCTACAGCTACAAGTGAAGCTACAGCTACAAGTGAAGCTACAGCTACATGTGAAGCTACAGCTACATGTGAAGCTACAGCTACAAGTGAAGCTACAGCCACAAGTGAAGCTACAGCTACATGTGAAGCTACAGCTACATGTGAAGCTACAGCTACATGTGAAGCTACAGCTACAAGTGAAGCTACAGCTACATGTGAAGCTACAGCTACATGTGAAGCTACAGCTACATGTGAAGCTACAGCTACATGTGAAGCTACAGCTACAAGTGAAGCTACAGCTACATGTGAAGCTACAGCTACATGTGAAGCTACAGCTACATGTGAAGCTACAGCTACATGTGAAGCTACAGCTACATGTGAAGCTACAGCTACATGTGAAGCTACAGCTACATGTGAAGCTACAGCTACATGTGAAGCTACAGCTACATGTAAAGCTAAAGCTACATGTGAAGCTACAGCTACATGTGAAGCTACAGCTACATGTGAAGCTACAGCTACATGTGAAGCTACAGCTACATGTGAAGCTACAGCTACAAGTGAAGCTACAGCTACAAGTGAAGCTACAGCTACATGTGAAGCTACAGCTACATGTGAAGCTACAGCTACAAGTGAAGCTACAGCCACAAGTGAAGCTACAGCTACATGTGAAGCTACAGCTACATGTGAAGCTACAGCTACATGTGAAGCTACAGCTACAAGTGAAGCTACAGCTACATGTGAAGCTACAGCTACATGTGAAGCTACAGCTACATGTGAAGCTACAGCTACATGTGAAGCTACAGCTACATGTGAAGCTACAGCTACATGTGAAGCTACAGCTACATGTGAAGCTACAGCTACATGTGAAGCTACAGCTACATGTGAAGCTACAGCTACATGTGAAGCTACAGCTACAAGTGAAGCTACAGCTACAAGTGAAGCTACAGCTACATGTGAAGCTACAGCTACATGTGAAGCTACAGCTACAAGTGAAGCTACACCCACAAGTGAAGCTACAGCTACATGCAGCTGTGGAGGAAACCAAAGGGAAATTGATGTACTCTGGGAATGTTGACAAAGATGTATGAATAAAATGATGACAAAGTTTCTCATGGTTCTTAGTTTTTCATATTCTGGTTCCCGTAACACTCTGTACAGATTCAAATTCACTATTTACCATTTGCAGAAAAACTATGTTGGAATAATTCAATCTGGAGCGACTGGAATAGACATAACATGGGTATCATTAGAGTTGTATACTGTTGGCGGTAATCTGACACTACATACATTTCACAAAACATACATACTGTACATTTCGCTTAGACACTGGCAGAGATTATGAGATGAAATCCCCCCGGGGCCTAGACCCTGTTGTGGGAGCTAGGAAAGGGGTGAGAGAGCTGGATCGGAATGAGGCGGAAATGGGGAGGAGGAGGGTTGCAGCGTGATTGAAGCTGCTGCTTGGATGGATCTTCCTCGCAATATGAAGCTTGACGCGTGCAGTGACTGATGGCTGCCAGGAGAGGCCAGTGTGGTGCCACAACTGAGTGTGATTGACAGATGCTGTTGCCATTAGCGACAGTGGGAGGACTGTGAGCGCAGTGAGTTTAGTGCTTCCAGTCTGAATGTATCTTTGCAAGTATCGCATAAAAAGACATGTGACAAAAAGTTTTCAGTAATATAGTTTATACCAGGACTGTCGATTGCTATCAGGAACTCACCCCGCCTTTTCAGAGAGCTCCCGAAAATTATGTTTTTATTCTCATTTATTTATCACTCCAGAATTTACGATTTCAGCTATTAATTACTTCTTCATTACTAACTGGGTGTGGTGAGTGAGGTCGGCAATCCCACATCTAAATCAATAACAAATACCAATAATAGTGAATACAACGGGGATGACCCAGGACACGTGTCTCTCTGTGGCCTGGGAATGCCTCAGGATTCCCCCAGATGAGCTGGAGGAGGTGTGTGTGTAGAGGGAAGTCTGGGCATCTCTGCTTAGACTGCTGCCCCCGTGACCCGGCAACGGATAAAGCGGAAGAAAATGGATGGATGGATGGACAACATGTTTCTTCATTGCTTCATCATTGCTTCTTGCCGGATAAAAATAAATATAGAGAACACATATTTGTAGTTGTTATTGTCATTTCTATTGTTCTATACATTTATTTACTATGCAAAGAAGATATTTAGGGTATGAAACTGTTAGATGTGTTTGAACGGATGTAATCATTTCAATTGTTAATAAATTGTATGAGAACATGTTGGGCTGAGTCCAATATCAAATAACGCTCCCTTCCTTATTCTTTCTCCTCCCTTTTAGTTACTTTAGCGGTATTAAATTCGATTTAATGAGCATTTAATAATTATTAAAGCAGCTTAAAATTCACGTCGCCAAATCTGGAGCTCCTTTGTCAAAGAAACTGTACTTTTTAACAAATAGAAGTTTAAGGAGGAGGTATTTTTCTGAATTCGGACGCAGTCTATACTAAGCCACGCCCTCACACATAAACCTGCTAACGTTAGCTCGGTTTGTAAGTTTAGTAATTTGACAATGCGTTTTTATTTTTATTATTATTAATCTGAACTAATCTGAACTAAATCTCTGAACATAACGTGGTGTCTGCCTTCGCCTTGGTCCCTGGTTCTGCCTGGTTCTGCTTGGTTCTCTCATCTCTGCTCGCCGGTCATGAGGGCGGTGCTGCTGCTGCTGCTGCCCGTGTGGATGTGCTCAGGAGCGGGCAGACTCTCTGGCTGCTCCCGGTCCTCCTGGTGCTCTTCTCCGGAGGTGGCAGCGCGCTGTGGGGTAACATTAAACCTGTTTCCAATCTATATTTAATTATTTACATCGAATAATTGTGTCAGAAGAACTGGGAAATACAAAGTTGTGTCCAGAGTTTAGAAGTCAGAAGTCAAAGTGTAAACGACTAGAGTCAGACAATATATAATAATAATGATAATAATAATAATAATAATAATAATAATAATAATATGTAATTCACACGTTATTACAGATTTGGCCACTTTTTTTATTTTTTTATTCTGTTTTTATACGCCCCGTTGTCACCAGTCCCACTCTACTCTACTCTGCTCTACTCTACCCTACTCTACTCTACTCTACTCTACTCTACCCTACCCTACTCTACTCTACTCTACCCTACCCTACCCTACCCTACTCTACTCTACCCTACCCTACCCTACCCTACCCTACTCTACTCTACCCTACCCTACCCTACCCTACCCTACCCTACCCTACCCTACCCTACTCTACCCTACCCTACCCTACCCTACTCTACTCTACCCTACCCTACCCTACCCTACTCTACTCTACTCTACTCTACCCTACCTTACTCTACTCTACCCTACCCTACCCTACCCTACCCTACCCTACTCTACTCTACTCTACTCTACTCTACCTACCCTACCCTACCCTACTCTACTCTACTCTACTCTACTCTACCCTACCCTACTCTACTCTACCCTACTCTACCCTACCCTACCCTACCCTACTCTACTCTACTCTACTCTACTCTACTCTACTCTCCCCTACTCTACTCTACCCTACTCTACTCTACTCTACTCTACCCTACTCTACTCTACCCTACTCGAATCTACTCTACTCTACCCTACCCTACCCTACCCTACTCTACTCTACTCTACTCTACCCTACTCTACTCTACCCTACCCTACTCTACTCTACTCTACTCTACCCTTCTCGAATCTACTCTACTCTACTCTACTCTACTCTACTCTACTCTACTCTACTCTACTCTACTCTACTCTACCCTACTCTACTCTACCCTACTCGAATCTACTCTACTCTACTCTACCCTACCCTACCCTACTCTACTCTACTCTACCCTACCCTACCCTACCCTACCCTACCCTACCCTACCCTACTCTACTCTACTCTACCCTACTCTACCCTACCCTACTCTACTCTACCCTACCCTACTCTACTCTACTCTACTCTACTCTACTCTAGATAATGGGTCAAGGATAAGTCACTTGTGGAGTACACAGTGTAGTTCACATTTACAGATGGCAGCATTTGTTGGTGTTGCAGGTGTTGAAGCGCTGTCAGAAGGGAAACTCCACATGGCTGCCTCAGAGCCCAGAGCCGGTGAAGGTGGAAGTGTTCTACGAGACCCTCTGTCCCGATTGCATAGACTTCATGACCCACATGCTGTACCCGTCCTCTGTGCTCCTGCGGGACGTCCTGGACCTCACTGTGGTCCCCTATGGCAACGCTAGGGTCAGAGACACACACACGCACAAGGCTTATCCACGCTTCAGGATTCTCTCTATCTCTCTCTTGCCTCTCTCTGGTCTCTCTCTCTGGCCTCTCTCTCTGGCTTCTCTCTGGTCTCTCTCTCTGGCCTCTCTCTGGTCTCTCTCTTGCCTCTCTCTGGTCTCTCTCTGGTCACTCTGTCTGGCCTCTCGCTCTGGTCTCTCTCTGGTCCCTCTCTCTGGACTCTCTCTCTGGTCTCTCTCTTGTCCGGTCTCTCTCTGGTATTTCTCTTGTCTCTCTGGTCTCCCTCTGGACTCTCTCTCTGGTCTCTCTCTTGTCTGGTCTCTCTCTGGTATTTCTCTTGTCTCTCTGGTCTCCCTCTGGCCTCTCTCTCTGGCCTCTCTCTGGTCTCTATCTCTGGCCTCTCTCTGTTCTCTCTCTTGCCTCTCTCTCCACCTCTTTCCACTTAAATAGACCAGTGTTAATGTCTGAATAATATTGAATGTTTTGTTCTCAGGAGAGTTTTGATGGTCAGAGATACATCTTCAGCTGTCAGCACGGAGAGCAGGAGTGTCTGGGAAACATGATCCAGGTTTGTAGACTGAATGTGTAGAATCTGAATGAGAATGTAGTAAATGGTCTCTCTCTGTCTCAGGCCTGTGTACTGAACATGGTCCCAGCAGAAGCTTCCATCATCGTCTTCTGCATGGAGGCGGCTGCAGACGTGGTGCAGGCGGCGCAGGCGGTGAGTCATTCACCTCTCCAATAACACAACTCACAAACATGAAAATATTGACAGAGGTCCCTCGCTATAACATGGTTCACGGTCTGTGTCTGTCTCTGTGTCTGTGTCTGTCTCTGTGTCTGTCTCTGTCTCTGTCTCTGTATCTGTGTCTGTCTCTGTGTCTGTGTCTGTGTCTGTGTCTGTCTCTGTCTCTGTCTCTGTGTCTGTGTCTGTCTCTGTGTCTGTCTCTGTGTCTGTGTCTGTGTCTGTGTCTGTGTCTGTCTCTGTCTCTGTCTCTGTGTCTGTGTCTGTCTCTGTCTCTGTCTCTGTCTCTGTGTCTGTGTCTGTGTCTGCCTCTGTCTCTGTCTCTGTCTCTGTATCTGTATCTGTCTCTGTCTCTGTGTCTGTGTCTGTCTCTGTCTCTGTCTCTGTCTCTGTATCTGTCTCTGTCTCTGTCTCTGTGTCTGTGTCTGTATCTGTCTCTGTCTCTGTCTCTGTGTCTGCCTCTGTCTCTGTATCTGTGTCTGTATCTGTCTCTGTATCTGTATCTGTATCTGTGTCTGTGTCTGTGTCTGTCTCTGTGTCTGTCTCTGTCTCTGTGTCTGTGTCTGTGTCTGTGTCTGTCTCTGTCTCTGTGTCTGTCTCTGTCTCTGTGTCTGTGTCTGTCTCTGTATCTGTCTCTGTGTCTGTCTCTGTGTCTGTGTCTGTATCTGTCTCTGTGTCTGTTTCTGTCTCTGTATCTGTCTCTGTCTGTGTCTGTCTCTGTCTCTGTCTCTGTGTCTGTCTCTGTCTCTGTCTCTGTATCTGTCTCTGTGTCTGTGTCTGTATCTGTCTCTGTCTCTGTGTCTGTGTCTGTCTCTGTGTCTGTCTCTGTATCTGTCTCTGTGTCTGTCTCTGTGTCTGTGTCTGTATCTGTCTCTGTCTCTGTGTCTGTGTCTGTCTCTGTGTCTGTCTCTGTATCTGTCTCTGTGTCTGTCTCTGTGTCTGTCTCTGTCTCTGTCTCTGTATCTGTCTCTGTGTCTGTCTCTGTGTCTGTCTCTGTCTCTGTGTCTGTGTCTGTCTCTGTGTCTGTCTCTGTCTCTGTGTCTGTCTCTGTCTCTGTATCTGTCTCTGTGTCTGTCTCTGTGTCTGTGTCTGTATCTGTCTCTGTGTCTGTCTCTGTCTCTGTCTCTGTCTCTGTCTCTGTGTCTGTCTCTGTGTCTGTCTCTGTCTCTGTGTCTGTCTCTGTGTCTGTGTCTGTATCTGTCTCTGTCTCTGTGTCTGTGTCTGTCTCTGTCTCTGTCTCTGTGTCTGTGTATGTCTCTGTCTCTGTGTCTGTCTCTGTCTCTGTGTCTGTCTCTGTCTCTGTGTCTGTCTCTGTCTCTGTCTCTGTGTCTGTCTCTGTGTCTGTTCCCTCCTGTCCTTCAGTGTGTGGAGCTGTACGCGCCGCAGCTGCCCTGGGACAGACTGGCGGACTGTGTGAAGGGAGACCTGGGGAACCAGCTGATGCATGAGAACGCCAAGAAGACCAAGGCCCTGAGTCCTCCTCACACCTCTGTGCCCTGGGTCACTGTGGACGGGGTACGCCACTTTAATTCTAGCACAAAACAAGACCGTCTCCAAAGTGCTGCACAGAAAGTAGGTGACTATAAAGTCCCCTACTTCCTGGGCTATCTCTCTGGCCTCTCTCTGGTCTCTCTCTGGTCTCTCTCTGGCCTCCCTCTGGTCTCTCTCTGGTCTCTCTCTGGCCTCCCTCTGGTCTCTCTCTGGTCTCTCTCTGGTCTCTCCCTGGCCTCCCTCTGGTCTCTCTCTGGTCTCTCTGGTTTCCCTCTGGTCTCTCTCTGGTATCTCTGGTTTCCCCCTGGTCTCTCTCTGGTCTCTCTGGTTTCCCCCTGGACTCTCTCTCTGGCCTCCCTCTGGTCTCTCTCTGGTCTCTCTCTGGTCTCTCCCTGGCCTCCCTCTGGTCTCTCTGGTTTCCCCCTGGTCTCTCTCTGGTCTCTCTGGTTTCCCCCTGGACTCTCTCTCTGGCCTCCCTCTGGTCTCTCTCTCTGGTCTCCCACTGGTCTCTCTCTGGTCTCTCTGGTTTCCCCCTGGACTCTCTCTCTGGCCTCCCTCTGGTCTCTCTCTCTGGTCTCCCACTGGTCTCTCTCTGGTCTCTCTGGTTTCCCCCTGGACTCTCTCTCTGGCCTCCCTCTGGCCTCCCTCTGGTCTCTCTCTGGTCTCTCTCTGGTCTCTCTGGTTTCCCCCTGGACTCTCTCTCTGGCCTCCCTCTGGTCTCTCTCTGGTCTCTCTGCTCTCTCTCTGGTCTAATCAATATTATTGCGATCCTTAACATATTGTGATACAGACAGTATACGATAATACGATATTCTAAAGGATGTGATTAGTCTCTCCGCTCTCATAGTTTCTCAGCAGAATAGACGGAGAAACAGATCATAGACTTTAAATAGACATATATTCGGGGGCGACAGTGGCTCAGTTGGAAATGGACTAATAAAGGGTAAGATAAAGCCATGACATAGATACATATAGATCTAAAAACAGTTGTTCTTGTGTTGACCTCATGCAGCAGAAACCTGGTCAGACTCTAGTTTCCTTCTGCTCTGGTCCCATCTGTTTTAGGCAGAACTCGTCGAGCAGGAAACAAATTCTTTCACAGGGTTTCTCTTAAAGCTGATGAAGCATTTATTATTGTTTTGATACTAGGATTCATTCACACATTTACACACATTAACCTCACATTCATCTTTCCTCAGCTTTTTTGGTTCATTTATTTCAGTTAGGGACACAGATAAGTCCAAGGACAAATACACTCAAGTTTGATAGTGCTAAAGCAGGGGTGTCAAACTTATTTTGGTTGAGGGCCGAATAAATGATGAAAGGGCTGGTCAGGGGCCGAAAGAATAAGTGGGTTTCATTTATTATACTTTTTTAATATTATGAAGGTATCTAAGTAAATGACTTGTTTCACATAGTTAGATTGGACATTCTTTTCTGATTAGAATTAGTTCAGTTATTGTGGACTGAACCAAAACTGGACAAAATATTGAAGGTTTGCAGGAAGATTTTCTACTTCTGTGTGGATCATCAAGACTATTGGTCCTCCCAACTGTCAATTTGACCAGCATGAATCACCAGAATGGTGATTCATGCTGGTCAAATAAGACCATACAAGAGAGTTTTTTTCAAAAAGTGGAGAGGGCAGTTCTTCCCTAAGAAGAAAATGAAATGAAATCTTCCATATCTTTAAGAAGAAATGTAATTGAAGACTCGTAAATAAAACAAAACATAAAAATACTGACTTCTAATTGCATGTTGGCTTATGATTTCTTATGGAATTGAATTTTATGGTTGTTTTCTTGAGAAAGTCAGTAATGGATGACATGACGTTGTCGCCTATTTCCATTAATGCTGCTATTTAATATGATCATTTAAAATAATCTAAAAATAATCTCAAGGGCCACCGGAAATGGTCTTGCGGGCCGGATCTGGCCCCCGGGCCTTGACTTTGACACCTATGTGCTAAAGAGAGAGATATTGGACAAAAAGTGAATGTACGGGATATGGTTCATGTAAGACCTAACTCTGCCTGAGACGGAGTATTTACCATATTTTTATGATTATACATTTTAGCTTTTGTCATAGTTTTTTCCGTGGGTGCAACTTATACTCCAGAGCAAATTATTATTACATTTTATATTTTAAATTTCAAATATTAAAGGTTTATAGGAGGATTTTCCCTAGTTTTAGGAAAGAACCGCCCTCTCCACTTTTTGAACAAAACTCTCTGGTCTGATTGGACGAGCACGTGTCACCAGAATGATTGACAGTTGGGAGGACCAATCGTCTTGATGATCCACCCGGAAGTAGAACATCCTCCTGTATACTGACCACTCGCCGGCAGGACGTTATTCGTGTTCCTTTTGTATTAGCATATGTATTTTGGTCTTCAAAACCCACAAGCTGTATAAAAATGTCACTTATACTCTAGTGCAACTTGTATATGTGTTTTTCCTTCTTTGTTATGCATTTTTGGCTGGTGCGACTTAAAATCCAAAAAATGCGGTAATCCTTCCCCAATTCTCCATCAGTGATTAATGTCTAATACATTTCATTATGTCTACTCTGTGCTGTAATCTTATATCTGTTTTATATTTTAAGCCAGCACATTTAACCACTAAAAACACGTACAGTAGGTCTGGCCTCGTGTTGGTCTCTGCTCCCATCTGTGTTTATACAGTATAAAGATCCTGACTGTTATGGTCTTCCAGGTTCACACCGAGGAACTGCAGGAGAAAGCCCTGTCTTCTCTCGTTTCTCTGGTCTGCAGCAAATACCAGGTATTTTTAAGTTCAAAGTGCTTTTATATTGATTTCCAGTGTTGAAAGTAATCGATCTTTTAAAGCTTTCTGTGTTTGTCTCGATACAGGGCCCAAAACCTGCCGTCTGTGGATGAAGATTTACAAAGTCTAGAATGAAACCCCATTGAAATACTTGATTATGGAGGTGTGGACGCTAACTCAGGGAAACTGTGGATTTTTTGTCATGTCGTCAATCATATTTAGAGGTTTGAAATGAGACGCTGTGAAGTTGATATTTTTATACACATTTGTCGTCATCTTTACAGTAATATGATCTGTGAGGGAAAGTCCAGGAGGAGCAGAGCCAGAGACAGAGCAGGAGAAAGTGGAAGAGACCGAAACAAGGTGCCTTTCTCATGTCCAGTCTTCCATTGTGCATGTAGTAACTGTGTCGGCCACTAGAGGGAGCCATACATGTGTTTTCTGTGGATTGTTGACAGTGGAAGCAAGAGCCAGAAAACGAGTAAATTACATATTGGGAAACTAATTTTTTCTTAGAAGGGTCCATTCAGGTTTATGTCATTTATATTCAACTAATACCTCCTCAATGACACTTTGGACAGGGTGCTTGCTCAAGTCTTGAAAGTCCTAATAAGTATGGAATTTTTAAACACTGTTTTCCAGACCTTGAAAAGACTTGAATTTTGTGTGAAAGTCTTAATAAAGTATGGGAAAAAAATTATGGTAGAATTTTACAGTGTGCTCAAAGGCGTTGTGGAATGAGAAGTAGGAAGGTAGGCTTTAATTGTCCTAACTGGTCACGTACTGTATTAGCCTGAATGGTATCAACGCTAGCTTAGCCTGGTCTGGCACATGTTCGTGATGTCACTGCTGAGGTCTACTGACACATAGCTAGCCTAGTGGTCAACAGAAATGGGTCTTGGGAAAAAAAATATCAGTTTTAAAAAGCACCCTGTTTGGACCAATCGTCACGGCAACAACAGAAATGCAATCTGTGCAAAGTAAGTAAGTTGTATATGTGTTTATAGTTTAGTTTGAAAAAATATCAAAAGTATAGAGTGTATGTATGTTGAGAAGGGTGGACCCATGGGTGTCACTGGGTAAGAGGAAGGAGGACCCTAAAGACAAAACTATATGACTATATGATATAATAATGATCATGAAATGAAACTCAAATCTAAAAAAAAAACACTGAAACCAGGGAAACCAGAGACAAGGACGAACAGAGACAAAGGACCAGCAACAAGTGGGACTGAGCACAGGTACAAATAGACAGAGAGACACAGGTAAAACACGTGAGGGCCATTGGACTTCAATTCGATTCAATGTTTTCTTGTATCGCCCTAAATCCCAACAGAGCCAACACAGATCAGAGAAACAAACGGTTCAAACACAACAAATATAGAACACTTATTATATGACCTGAATCGTACGCGCGCTCTGATTGGCTGATTTGCGGTTTGATATTTTCCCATCTCGGACCGTTACCATGACAATTTCGTCGAACTTCGTTACAGATCAGAAAGGTAAAAACACGATTAGGAAAACCAAGTCGGAGATCGTTATTTGCATAAAAGAAAAATAGTCATATAATAAAACATTTGTTAACCTCGCTTGCTCGGTCTGTGCAGAGAAAAATCAGACCTTGGTCGTTTTGTACAGACCTCGCGCTCGTTTAATAAGCCGTTAATATTGATCCATAGGGAGAGACCAGAGTCCATGTATGTTGATAAATGTCATACATGTTGTAGAATGTTAATCACCACAGTCCTTCTAAAAGACTCTTCTGCATCGGCAAGGAAAAACTCTAAAACCCAGTGGGAGAAAGGAAAGACTTCTTGGCAGACAACCAACACAGAGGAACAGGACAGGAAGAAAACTAAACTAAAAAGCCAAAATAAAACACAAAATTCACACCATGTCAGCAGGAGGGAGGGAAGAGCAGAAAGAACTTTAACCTCTGTCATGTCAACACAATAAAAATGTGATCCCAAAAAAAAAAATCGAAAAACGACATAGACAAAGATATAGGAATAATATGGCATTCAAATCGTGATCTGGGAAAACATTTAGACATTTTAGACAACAGCTGTATCTAGACTAAAAAAACACAACACATTGAAACCGTCAATCCCAGTCCAACCGATGCCAAAGTGCAGGACTGTCTTACGGTTTGTGTTGCGTGTGTGTGCGTACGCGCTGCTCGGCCTGGAGAGGCGTGGAACCCGGGCTCATATCTGATCTCCAACCTGGTTCCTGCGTCTTGCTCTGTGGCATTTCCTCTGTTATCTCCTTTAATGCAGCCAGGGCTAAAACATGAAGAGAAGCAACTACAAAAACACTTGCATAGAGGTAAGATGCCTTTTATATAATCTTTTACTTAGGACTCAAGCGTCTAGATTTGGCATTTTCAGTAAAAGCGTTGGTCGTTGCTGGAAGTCTAACCTAAATATGTTACATTTTAATAACTCACTTTAAAGTATTCTCTTGATACTATACTCTCTGAGGCCTAGATTTATGCTGTGATGGGTTTACACACATTGAGAGAATACTTTTGCACACCACACTTCAATTATGAAAGTTCAAAGTTAACTATATTGTCCCACTCGGGGTCAAGGTTAGGGTTAATCTAAAAACAGACAGACACGGTAAAATAAAAACATTGAAAATAACAAGAACTTTATGAATTTTCAGTGCAAAAATGCTGCTTATGTATTTGTAAACACATAATTTGTGTGTGTGTAGTGTATGTATGTGTGTGTATAGCATAAAAAGGACAGGTTGGTGGTAGATGAAAGCTGCCTCCGGATAAAGCAGAAGAAAGTCAATCTTAAAATGTAGGACTGGTGCATTGAACAGAAAATGAAGTTTACTAGCATGACTCAGCACAGTTACATTAACACCAGGTCTACACAAAAACAAAAGTTAAACAACTGAATTCTAAAGGTTCTGAGCTTTTATCGGCGAAGGTGAAGTTGGCTGGATGACTCTGTGAACTTGTGTTAGCGAGGCAGCGGGCCACATAGCATGACTCAGAGGGCCGCAAATGGCTCGCGGGCCTTGGTTTTTTATTTTAGTTCAATTCCATGCAATTTATATATTCTGTTCAGGTAATTGGACAATCTGTCAGTGAGATGTGGGTGACACACGTACACACACACACACACAGAGATACACTGACACACACGCACACACACACATACACGTTTGTTACCTGGTGGGTCCCTTTGACAGGGCCGTTCAGAATGGGACCCATAGACATAATCTTTTTTTACCAAGACTTTAAGTAATACAAAACAGTCAATAGAAACCAAACAACTATTTTAAAGGAATTTTATTTTAGATTTTGTTTTCGAATTGCAGTGATTCTATTTTTGACATAGAATTTAATGCCACTCCATGTCCGATGTCTAAGGTCATCTGGTGAGGCATTAATGCAGGCCAGGCAGTGAGACTTCCCAGGGACCTTTCCAGTCTGTATGAAAGGTGTCATGGTCTTCTCCACAGCCTTCACCTCAGATGCAGACCATGGCTTTCTTACACGTTCTAGGGAGAGAAATAAAAATATATTAGCAATATACACTCCCAGGGTGAGGACCAAGCAGCCTGGCTGTAATCCCCCACCTGGTACACTTACCAGAAGGGGCACTGCCACTACCATGGGGTGCATCTGGATGAATGGTTGAAGGTTCTCCGCTTGAAGTTTCTTTTAGCCCGTCCGTTTGTGAGAGGATCTCTACTGCTCTCCCTGTCGCACAGAAAATAAAAATACAAGTGGCCTTTAGGGGAAAAAAATCATACATATTTTAATAATATCAAGAATTACCTTCAGGCTCAATTTGTATCTGGTCGAGGCTCTTTCCTTCGAATTCCGTCACTCTTCCCTGCTCCATGGCCATCAACACTTTGCTGATTTTGGCCAGCTCCAGTGTCCCCTCTGGTAGTCTGTAATATTGCCTGTGGATGCGAATGTCATGGCCGAGGAAGTTGGCAAGTATGTCCATCTCATTCTCTTTCATATTGAGAACTGTAGACATAGTAGCTATGTGCTTTCTAAGTTTGGTTGAGGATAGCATCTCTGGATGCACCGCACCACATTCTTTGGCTACCTGCCGTAGGGAGTCTGATCCCCTGATGTGGGTGTCTGCGCCCGGGCGGGAAAAGAAGTATGGGTTATGGTCAGAGATGGAACAGGCCCTTCTGTTCTCCACCAGCACCTCCATCGAAGCAATCATTTCAGGAGTCAAAAGAACCGGCACTTTCCGACTTCTTTTCCCTTTAATTTCAATGCGTTGAAAATGCTGACACAGCTTTTTCTCAAGTTGGGACAGTCCCAGAGCAATGTCAGAATGGATCCCAGTCTTACTTCTTAAGGTAAAGGCTGTCAGTGGCATCTTTGAAACCTCACCTTCCCTTCTTCGATTGAAAATGATGACCTCACAAAGAGTCAAAACTGCCAGTTTAGACCAATGCTTAGACGTTGGCTCACTTATTAGGGTTTGCACATATTCAGGTCGACATACCTCAATATGTGCATGCATGGCTCTAACGTCCTCAGTCAGAGGGAGCAGGTCCGGAGTGTTCCACTTGGCTTGCCGGAGGGTCTGTAGGGCAGCAGAAGAAACACAGACGTCCCACCTCTTCTCAAAAAGCAGCCGGCTTCGTTGGAGGTTTTTAATAAATAGTTCATCAACACAATGCTCCATTTTTGAGTCACATTCAAGAATATCTGCTAGCTTTCTGAGGCTATGGCCGAGTTTGAGGGCCAAGGATGGAGTCTTGTATTGATTTGTTTCCTCATCATATCCAGCCACAGACCTGACTGCATCAATCACATGGTTAAAGTTGGAAGGAATAAAGAAATCCTTAATTGTTTTCAGTTTCCCTGCGGTTTTTGCTTCGTTAATTAACCTACCGACTTCTCTCATTTTCTGCCTAATGTAATCATGCTTTGTCTTATCATGCCCGTGTTTTAAGTACAGGTGCTCTCCGAGTCTCAGAATCCCCTTTTCTGCTTTGACAACACCCGTGACCTCATCCTGATGCATTGCCGAAATTAAAGACCACAGCTTTTTGCTGATGCCCTCCGGTACAGGCTGGGCTAGGGAGCAGAGGGACTGGACCCTACTTCTACCTGGTTTAGCCTGGGCATCTTTCTGTGAAAGCCGGCACCTGGCCACATGCCTCCACAGCGACTTTCGCTTAAGCAATGCCCCACAGTCTATACAGTGCAAAAACTCACTGGATTTAACTGGGCAATTTGGCTGTTTAGCTGGGACTAAAGTTCCAATGCCGGCCTTTAAAACCTCAAAATTGTGCTCACGGTTTCCACTATTCCTGATCAAATCAAACTGAAGTTTACGTGCTTTAGATTTCACAGGTAGAGCCAATGCTCTGGCTACGTCACTTTCATTTCCATGTTTTCTAGTCAAATGACGGGACATTTTGTGGCAGGACATTGAACAGTAGAGGCAGAAGTGTCTCTTGCTGTATACTCGCCCCCCATTTTTCTTCTTTTGCAGCTGCATGATAACAATCTTATTTGCCTTTGGTTCGTCACTTTCCGAGTCTTGAAGAAAAGTGTTTTTGATTTTTCTTTTTCCATACTTTTTTACAGGTTTCTTCTTGACAGTTAAATCGTCAGAATCTGAGTCGACTTCATCAATTAGGGACTCTTGACTAAGCTGCACAAACAACAAATAATTTGTAATCATTCTATATAACAATTTGAAGTCATGACTTGTAGTCAGCACTTACCAGTGGTTTGTAAGCGTGCGCTTCAGTGTGCTCCTCCATGATTTCTTGCAGCCTAATGAACCACACACTTGCACCTTTTTCTAGCCTGACACCTGATTTCCTCTGTTGTGCTGCTCCATGATTGGCTCCAGCCTGCTGGACTGAAATTGCCCCAGTGTGCCCCTCCTTGATATCCCGCAACCCACCACCAGGGTTCCGACACATAACACACTTTTTTCAGGAAAGTAAACCTCCAGGGGTCCTTTCCATATTTTTACAGAGACTGCATAAGGACCGTTAGAAAAGCATTACCCATTGATTATTAAGCTTGGACCAGTGGGGTCCGGTGTTCGGGCCCCACCACGTAAAACCAGTCCCCATGACGTGAGTGGAATCTCAGGTTATGGAACCCACCAGGAGTTGAAAACAAGTGCACACAGAGATACACTGACACACACGCACACACACAGAGATACACTGACACACACGCACACACACACAGAGATACAATGACACACACGCACACACACAGAGAGAGATACACAGACAGACACACACAGAGATACACTGACACACACGCACACACACACACAGAGATACACTGACACACACGCACACACACACAGAGATACACTGACACACACGCACACACACATAGAGAGAGATACACAGACAGACACACACAGAGACAGACACCTATACACATACACACACATACTTAGACTGACACATACTCACACATACAGTACATACAGATACAGATACACAAACACACACGGGCAGATACACACACATACACAGACAGACAGATACACAGACAAACACACATATAGACTGATACACAGAGATTGACAGATCCACACAGACAGACAGATACACACACACATACTGTACATAGACAGATACACACACACATACACACACACACGCACACATACATAGACAGATACGCACACACATTGACACACAGACGTTCCTTGCTTTATAGATGAATTATTTGGGGTTCCGTAAAGACAGCCACAGCATAACAGCAGTATTTCTCTGTCTTCAAACAATCACATTCTTGGCTTTGAACCTATGATGTGTGTCTGTGCTGTGTTCAGAGGCAGTGGGCGGACGAGGCCCTGTCCCTGGAGGGCCTCCATCCCTCAGGTCTGGAGTTTGCAGTGAAGAGGCTGGTCTCCGGGCCCCTGCTCCTGCCTCGCCTCTCCTGCAGACCATCCCCTCAGTGTCTGGACCAACTCCCGGCCAGAGACAAGCCTCCGGACCAGGGCACGGACCCGGACAGTGAGGATGGACCTCCAGCCGTCCTGGTCTCAGAGTCTCCTCGCAGACTCAAACCCTCCAGGAGCCTGGGCACCCTCACCAGCTGCATCCCACGCAGTTAGTGAGTAAATAACTACACCATACTTATTATTTAGCTTTTAGCCATTTTTAATTAGACCAAGGTGAATATCGGCGCATGTAGCCAAGATATAGATAATAGCTCAAAATGTTTAGAAATTGCTTTATGAAGGTATAATATGACGTTTGTTTACATGTATTGTTTTGGGGCCATGCCTACAAGTTTTATTTATTTGAATTTAGGACAGTACATAATAATCAATGTGTCGGCAAACAGTTAAATTGCATTCATTGTAGGGTTACAGGCAGGTACAAACATACAAACACACAGTTAGGCAACAGTGCAAACAAGAACTCAACAACGTCAGGAATTCAACACAGAAGAGAAAGTTAATGCAGAACTGAGGTCCAATTTTTCTGCTTTTCTCTAACACTGAACATTCAAACTCCCGGAGAAACAAGAAATCGGCTCAACTTTACAAAGTGCTCATTTTCTTTGGTAAATAACAACAAACTTTCTACGCTCTGACTTGGTTCTTGGTCTCACTACTCACCTGTGAATACATTTCTCAAGTGTCGCGGCTTTGCTTTGAGTCTCTTGTCAATGAAAGCCAAAGACATTTTCATTTCACTCTTATCTTTTGGGTGAATGAGACGAGCCTTGTCCTTGCTACCTCTGCTTATGTCATATCTGTTTTTGTTGTTTTTTTGTTCATGCCAAAGAAGAACATATGGATAGTATGTGAGCAGTAGTAATACAGTAGTTGTAAAAACTCTGCCCGTTCACATGACTCGTTTTTTCCCCCAAACAAATGATTGTGTGTGCATGTTGCTGAGTGCTATTGTCACATATTAAGTAAAAAGCAGATAATAAAGCAGATTTTTTTCATATATTTGTCTGGTGCACACTGGCGACTTTTGCACTTGTATTCCAATGGGGTTTTACTGCAAATAGCAAATGAACTGAATCTTTTATGTGGGCGGCTCGGTGGCTGAGGGGATAGAACTCTCGCCGCAAGAAGGTTCTGGGTTAGAATCCTGGTCGGAACAGAGCCTTTCTAAGTGGAGTTTGCATGCTCTCCCCGTGTCTGTGTAGGTTTTCTCCGGGTGCTCCAGTTTCCCCTACCACTAAAAACATGTACAATAGTTCAGGGTGAATGAATGTGAGTTTGTGAGAACGACTGTGGGACGACGGGCGCAAATTAGACCAACGCTATAATCCGGAGTGATGTGTTCAATAACATGCACTGTCCCAACACAATAAACAATAAATAAAATAAAAACATTCTGGAACTGGCTCGAACAGGCTGCATCAGCGGGAATCTGAAGCCATATTCGGGGATGGCAACACCCTAGCAACCAAAGAGCCAATCAGGAGCGAGCGCGTTGGCTTTTTACAAAAATATCTCTTTTTGAGTGCCACAGTCTTTTATTTTTTGCGTTTACGCCTCAAAGCATGAACATAAAAGTATAAATGAGCAGCTCTGTCACGCACACTTTAGTTTGAACCTTCCTTAGATGTTGGTGTGTGTTGTTTGTGAACTTTGCCTGTGTGTGTGTTTGCTCTGCTCTCTGGACGCTCGTGTGAAAGTTCAGGAGGTGGCTCTGCTCGGCCTCTCTCTGTGTTTGTTGTGAGGTCTCTGCTGCTGTGAGTCCAGTCTGGAGCACGGATTTTTACCTAGTGGTGGGAAAATCTATTCTGTTCAGTATCGCGATATATATACACATGTAACTAAATCGATACAGTAGAGCAAAGTATTGATATATCTTTGAGTTTCCTCTGGTCATTTCCATCTGAGGTGCCTGCTTGTTGTGACTCTATGACGTCTGCTTGTTGTGACTCTATGACGTCTGCTTGTTGTGACTCTATGATGTCTGCTTGTTGTGACTCTATGACGTCTGCTTGTTGTGACTCTATGACGTCTGCTTGTTGTGACTCTATGACGTCTGCTTGTTGTGACTCTATGACGTCTGCTTGTTGTGACTCTATGATGTCTGCTTGTTGTGACTCTATGACGTCTGCTTGTTGTGACTCTATGACGTCTGCTTGTTGTGACTCTATGACGTCTGCTTGTTGTGACTCTATGACGTCTGCTTGTTGTGACTCTATGACGTCTGCTTGTTGTGACTCTATGACGTCTGCTTGTTGTGACTCTATGATGTCTGCTTGTTGTGACTCTATGACGTCTGCTTGTTGTGACTCTATGACGTCTGCTTGTTGTGACTCTATGATGTCTGCTTGTTGTGACTCTATGACGTCTGCTTGTTGTGACTCTATGACGTCTGCTTGTTGTGACTCTATGACGTCTGCTTGTTGTGACTCTATGACGTCTGCTTGTTGTGACTCTATGACGTCTGCTTGTTGTGACTCTATGACGTCTGCTTGTTGTGACTCTATGATGTCTGCTTGTTGTGACTCTATGACGTCTGCTTGTTGTGACTATGATGTCTGCTTGTTGTGACTCTATGTCGTCTGCTGGTTGTGACTCTATGACGTCTGCTTGTTGTGACTCTACGACGTCTGCTTGTTGTGACTCTATGACGTCTGCTTGTTGTGACTATGATGTCTGCTTGTTGTGACTCTATGTCGTCTGCTGGTTGTGACTCTATGACGTCTGCTTGTTGTGACTCTATGATGTCTGCTTGTTGTGACTCTAAGACGTCTGCTTGTTGTGACTCTATGACGTCTGCTTGTTGTGACTCTATGACGTCTGCTTGTTGTGACTCTATGATGTCTGCTTGTTGTGACTCTATGATGTCTGCTTGTTGTGACTCTATGACGTCTGCTTGTTGTGACTCTATGACGTCTGCTTGTTGTGACTCTATGACGTCTGCTTGTTGTGACTCTATGATGTCTGCTTGTTGTGACTCTATGATGTCTGCTTGTTGTGACTCTATGATGTCTGCTTGTTGTGACTCTATGATGTCTGCTTGTTGTGACTCTATGATATCTGCTTGTCGTGACTCTATGACGTCTGCTTGTTGTGACTCTATGACGTCTGCTTGTTGTGACTCTATGACGTCTGCTTGTTGTGACTCTATGACGTCTGCTTGTTGTGACTCTATGACGTCTGCTTGTTGTGACTCTATGATGTCTGCTTGTTGTGACTCTATGATGTCTGCTTGTTGTGACTCTATGATATCTCCTTGTCGTGACTCTATGACGTCTGCTTGTTGTGACTCTATGACGTCTGCTTGTTGTGACTCTATGACGTCTGCTTGTTGTGACTCTATGACGTCTGCTTGTTGTGACTCTATGATGTCTGCTTGTTGTGACTCTATGATGTTTGCTTCAGTTCATGTACAGACCATACTAATGTCACAGAGAAGTCGTTTCTGTAATGTCCTAATTTATCGCAGAATCGAATCACACAATACTGTCTGTATCGCAATATGTTAAGGATTGCGATATTATTGAAATGTGACCCAAATATCGCAATAATATCAAATCCTCACATTTTTGTTCATTCTCAGCTCTAACTTGTTTGTTTTCCAACGGTTCGGTCCTCTCTGGTCACATATCCCTGAACCTTATATTCTTTATCATGCGTGATCTGACCCATGCAGGTGTGATTGTAACCACGACAACGGCGGCTATTGTTTTACGTCTGTGGAAAAAAAAAGCTGCTGGACCTGTACCTGTGTGACATATAAGACTATCTTTCACCGTGACACGTTTTGATCTGTTATCAGTGTGTGAGCCGCAGCTTCTTTACTAGTTCAGGTTTTTCTTCTCTTCATCTCCGAAAAATCCAACCAATTTATTCTTGTATTGCCCTAAATCACTACAGCAGTAATCTCTGTAGGACTTTACAAAGCTGTTGAGAAGCCTGTCTCATATTTTCAGGAAGACTGCCTTCCCATGTTTAGTTCTGTCTCTGGGCACCAGCAGGAAGCCAGTCCCTGTGCTCCTCAGAGTCCCAGCAGGAGGCCAGTCCCTGTGCTCCTCAGAGTCCCAGCTGGAGGCCAGTCCCTGTGCTCCTCAGAGTCCCAGCAGGAGGCCAGTCCCTGTGCTCCTCAGAGTCCCAGCAGGAGGCCAGTCCCTGTGCTCCTCAGAGTCCCAGCTGGAGGCCAGTCCCTGTGCTCCTCAGAGTCCCAGCAGGAGGCCAGTCCCTGTGCTCCTCAGAGTCCCAGCAGGAGGCCAGTCCCTGTGCTCCTCAGATTTGGGTCATATGGCCATGGAGCAAAGCAGCTTTAAATCCTCCTCAAGTGACCTGTGGTACACTGTGGTACACTGGGCCCTGTGATACACTGGGACCTGTGCTACTCTGGGCCCTGTGCTACACTGGTCTGTTGTGCCTGGACTTGGGCCTCATGACTGCTGTGATCTTGGAGGCCGAGATTGGGCTCAGATTAAGGTTAGAAAGAGTCATTATTGTACATAATATAAGTGTTCTTTCAGGAATATGTATTTTTGTATCGCCCTGAATCACAACAGTACTATCTCTGAGGACTTTACAAAGCTGTCCATTCTCCAACACAGATCAGAGAATCAAACCGTTTTTCTACCATGAAATCTATTACGATATAAATAATCATAATAATAACGCATCAGTTTCAAACTTTTGTTGACGTTCTAAAACTCTAATACAGCAATATTCTTTCACTACAGCTATTTCTGTAGCTACAATTGACCATGGTGCCAATCTTCACCGCTCTTACCCCCTCTGACTGTGTTTTCAGGCGGTAAAAAAGACCAAACTAATTCTACACCTCACTCTTGTGGCAGCATAGGGATAGGGCAGGCCATTAGCATTATTTACCCTTGATGCTAACAGTCTCGATACCTTTTTTAATGGCCAAAAAACAATGCATAATACTTCCTGTGGAGCCACTGTATCTATGTCTATGCTATCCATCCATTTTCTACCCCTTAAACCATTTCTGCGTCAGGTGGGTGGCCCGAGATGCCACCCAAGTCACAACGGACAATTCAATACAATACAATTTTTTCTTTTATAGCCCTGAATCACAGTAGTCATCTCAGAGACTTAACAAAACCATTGAAATCACCAACACAGATCAGAGAATCAACAGTTAAGACACATAAAGAATATAGAACAGATGTTGATAAATGTTTAAGTGTCCTGGATCATCACAGTCCTTTATGTTGGACACTAACTGCCCAACAGACCCTCCTGCATCGGCAAGGAACAGCTCACAACAACCCAGTGGGAGAAAAGTGAGAAACCTCGGGGAGACCCACAATTGAGAGAGGGACCCGCTCCACACGGACGGACGGGCTGTAGATTCAGGACTCAGACTGTAGAACGAGGACTGAGACTATAGATCCAGGACCTAAGCTACAGAGTGTGGACCAGGACCACGCAGCGGCTGCAGAACTGACACCATCCTGTCTATGCTATATTGCTAGCTAAATCCCAGTGTGAATGTCAAGGCAAAATGCTGCTAAATGCCAAACCCGTGGAAATGGCCTCAGGGAGCACAGTAGCAGACCAGCTGTTGGTCATAGGTTCAGTCCAGTGTCAGATGCTCCAGCTCCGTGGGTTATGCAGACGTCAGCAGAGCCCAGAGAGACCGGCCCCTCCATCCCAGACGTCAGGTGGGACCGGGCCCCGGAGTACACTGCAGCTTTTATCTACCTCTGCCTTTTTATCTCTGCAGTCAAGAGGTGATGCATGTGACAGCTCCTGCAGCGTGTGAACCAGAAGGAATTTTTTTTATAATAAGGAGAATCCCTGGAAGAAGATGAAGAAAAAGACGATTACACCATAAAGTGGAACACCTTTAACATTCTCTTCACGCTTGGCACTTTTGTATGTTTTTAGAATGTGGAATAATCACAGACTATATGGGTAAACTTTACAAAGCTGTCAATTTGCCAACACAGATCAGAGAATCAAAAAGTTCACACACAGAAAATGCAATGATAAAAAACACATAGAGACTTGGTCCATAAGAGCAGAGACCAATGTCCATAAATGTGGACTGTCCTTAGGCTTAGACCCTCCTGCATCGGCAAGAAACAAGTCTAAAAACCCAGTGGGAGAAAAGTGAGAAACCTCGGAGGCCCACATTTAGTCAGGGATCCGCTCTCACAAATGGACAAGCTGTAGACCCAGGACTGAGGCTGTAGAACGAGGACTGAGGCTGTAGATCCAGGACTGAGGCTGTAGCCCCAGACTCAGGCTGTAGACCCAGGACTCGGGCTATAGAACGAGGACTGAGGCTGTAGATCCAGGACTGAGGTTGTAGACCCAGGACTGAGGCTGTAGACCCAGGACTGAGGCTGTAGATCTAGGACTGGAGCTGTAGATCCAGGACTGAGGCTGTAGATCCAGGACTGAGGCTGTAGACCCAGGACTGAGGCTGTAGAACGAGGACTCAGGTTGTAGATCCAGGACTGAGGCTGTAGATCCAGGACTGAGGTTGTAGACCCAGGACTGAGGCTGTAGATCCAGGACTGAGACTGTAGATCCAGGACTGAGGTTGTAGACCCAGGACTGAGGCTGTAGACCCAGGACTGAGGCTGTAGATCCAGGACTCAGGCTGTAGAACGAGGACTGAGGCTGTAGACCCAGGACTGAGGCTGTAGATCCAGGACTGAGGCTGTAGACCCAGGACTGAGGCTGTAGATCCAGGACTGAGGCTGTAGACCCAGGACTGAGGCTGTAGACCCAGGACTGAGGCTGTAGATCCAGGACTGAGGCTGTAGATCCAGGACTGAGGCTGTAGACCCAGGACTGAGGCTGTAGATCCAGGACTCAGGCTGTAGAACGAGCACCGAGCCCACGCTGTGCAGGACTGAGGTAATATATCATCCTCAGTGCAAATTTTAATGTCACAGCTGCACACATTACAGCAGAAAGAAAGAAATAATAATAATAATAAGGTTAAATAAATATACAGTATTATAATAACATTGCTCAAATTTGACTGAAAGTATCAAGTCTAAATGGCTTTGTCCCATTGGAGAAGAACGGGCGCAAATTTAGATAAAAACCACTTTATTCAAGCGATTATTAATTTTTTTTGCAGTGTGGATACTATATACAGTCATTATTTGATAGAAAGCCACATTTGGAGTCAGCGCTAATACTCCTGTGATTTATACTGAAGCATGTAATGTGGTTTTCTCATGTGTGAGTAGTGCCGTTATTCATCCTGATATTATTGATTGAAAGTTTCCAATGAAGCCAGAAAGATCCAAATCAGACACTGTTTATAAACGCGAGGAAGTCGGAAGGAGGAAAGTAAAAACCATGATGAATCTCCTTTTCTGGTGTAAAATGGCAGATAATGTGAAAATGTGTGTCCAATGGAAAAAGATAAGATACAGAAGGACCTTTATTCACCACAGTGTGAGTATTACAGTATTCTCTGGTCTCTCTGGTCTCTCTGGTCTCTCTGGTCTCACTGGTACCCTCTAGCTTTCTCTGGTCTCTGTGGTCTCTCTCTGGTCTCTCTGTGGCCTCTCTCTGGTCTCTCTCTGGCCTCTCTCTGGTCTCTCTCTGGTCTCTCTCTGGCCCCTCTCTCTCATATCTCTTTCTGATCTCTCTCTCTCTCTGATTTCTGTACATTGTAAAGCACTTTGGGTGACCTTGGTCTGTAAAATGCGCTATATAAACAAACATTACTTACTCTAGTCTCTCTCTGGTCTCTCTTTAGTCTCTCTTTAGTCTCTCTCTGGTCTCTCTTTAGTCTCTCTTCAGTCTCTCTCTGGTCTCTCTCTGGTCTCTCTTTAGTCTCTCTCTGGTCTCTTTCTGGTCTCTCTTTAGTCTCTCTCTGGTCTCTCTTTAGTCTCTCTCTGGTCTCTGGTCTCTTTCTGGTCTCTCTCTGGTCTCTCTTTAGTCTCTCTCTGGTCTCTTTCTGGTCTCTCTCTGGTCTCTCTTTAGTCTCTGGTCTCTTTCTGGTCTCTCTCTGGTCTCTATTTAGTCTCTCTCTGGTCTCTATTTAGTCTCTCTCTGGTCTCTGGTCTCTTTCTGGTCTCTCTCTGGTCTCTATTTAGTCTCTCTCTGGTCTCAGTCTGGTCTCTTTCTGGTCTCTCTCTGGTCTCTCTTTAGTCTCTCTCTGGTCTCTCTTTAGTCTCTCTCTGGTCTCTCTCTGGTCTCTCTCTGGTCTCTCTTTAGTCTCTCTCTGGTCTCTTTCTGGTCTCTCTCTGGTCTCTATTTAGTCTCTCTCTGGTCTCAGTCTGGTCTCTTTCTGGTCTCTCTCTGGTCTCTCTTTAGTCTCTCTCTGGTCTCTGGTCTCTTTCTGGTCTCTCTCTGGTCTCTCTCTGGTCTCTCTTTAGTCTCTCTCTGGTCTCTTTCTGGTCTCTCTCTGGTCTCTCTTTAGTCTCTCTCTGGTCTCTGGTCTCTTTCTGGTCTCTCTCTGGTCTCTCTTTAGTCTCTCTGGTCTCTGGTCTCTTTCTGGTCTCTCTCTGGTCTCTCTTTAGTAAGTAAGTAAGTAAGTTTTTATTTATATACCGCCTTTTCACTGCAGATCTGAGTCTCAAAGCGGTTTACAATTGTTAATTTTGGGCATTTGTCTCTCACTCCACACAGAGATGGGAGCGGGGTCGCCAGTACAGGAGGCGCATGCCAGAACTATTGGACATATTTTTAGTGGTAGGGGAAACCGGAGTACCCGGAGGAAACCTACGCAGACACGGGGAGAACATGCAAACTCCACTCAGAAAGGCCCTGGTCCGACCGGGATTCGAACCCAGGACCTTCTTGCTGAGAGGTGAGAGTGCTATCCACTCAGCCACCGTGCCGCTTTAGTCTCTCTCTGGTCTCTGGTCTCTCTTTAGTCTCTCTCTGGTCTCTGGTCTCTCTTTAGTCTCTCTCTGGTCTCTCTTTAGTCTCTCTCTGGTCTCTCTTTAGTCTCTCTCTGGTCTCTGGTCTCTTTCTGGTCTCTCTCTGGTCTCTATTTAGTCTCTCTCTGGTCTCTCTTTAGTCTCTCTCTGGTCTCTGGTCTCTTTCTGGTCTCTCTCTGGTAAGTAAACTCTCTCTTTACCATAATAAAGAAGCAAGTTTAAAATACTGTACATTTTTGGCCCATAAATACAGTATATAGTTATATGTTTACATCCGTACATGTTTACAGCATGAGGGTCCGGGACAAAATCCTGACATTAGTTCAAATTATTGCACAGACGCACGACATATGAGGTCAGGTCGGCAGCGTCCGTCTGTCCTCATTGTTCGTTGTACTGTCTGACAGCAGCAGGACACTTCCAACAGAACTCCTGTATCTCTGTCAGTGACTTATTTGGCCTGGGGGCGGCTAAACGTCTTGGAAATAGCTGGGAGCCTGTGATCAGTCAGGCTTCTCCTTCGCTGTAAATGAGACGTCCATATTTAGTTGGAAAGAGGGAAGGCCTAGAACTAATGTAAACAAAGGCTGGGAGCTGGGAGAGGGAGGGTGGAAGCACAGAGGACAACATTTCAGTCCAGGCTGCGCTCCTGGGAGAAAACATATCCAGTTGTATCTCCCTGTTTTTTATTTTGCTTTAAATTGTTTGATTTCACACGCAAGAAGCATCCACCATGTACCTAATGGATTGATTGACGCTTGGAGGGATGCTTTTTGCTTCACCAATCTTCACTATCTTTTTGTGTGCTCAGGCTTCGACATATGTTTACGCCATTGATTTTTTTGTTTAGACTCTACCGCATTTTTGCCGGGTGAAAAAACGCAAGATTTCGCGAAAGAACACATAGCTATGGACTGTTTTGATGAGACGACAAACACCGAAGAGGAGACCGGAAGCTCGAGTTGTCCAGATGGTATCACAAAAGATATGAGAGATGAGTCGCTGAAAGTTTTTCTGTTGACGTCATTTGATTGGTGGTGTTGACATTGGCGCTAGTTTCGGCCATCTTGAATACGAAAAAGGAAATGAATCCATCAACCGTTCAAGATTTGGAGAGGCTAAAGCAACACCCTTGAAATCAGAAACTTTCCAAACATACCAAAGCAAACCGAAAGCAAAGAACAATCATTGAGACAAAGGAAAAGTCGATCCAAACCTCCGTCCACGCTAACCATGAGTGGCTCGAGCTCTGAGGAGGAACAGTGCGACCTGGAGGAGAATGGTGAGGGGCCGAAGATGGCGAGGCTTCCCATAATCCAGCTGAAGAACAAGTCCAAGAGCGGATCTCCCGTGGACTCTCCCAAGGTCTCGCCGCGGGACTCTCCTCGATGTTCTCCCAGAAACTCGCCTCTGCTCTTCAGAAAACTGCTGATGAACCGCAGCATCAACCAGCGGCGGCGTTTCACTCTGGCCCACACTCCCAGGTGAGCTACAGACTTACACACACTCTGTCCACATGGGGACTTAAAGGTCCACTCAGGCTCTTCACACCAGAACTCCCGGAGCAGTCAATTTGACGGCTTTTAGTTTTGGAAGTGTAATTTACTCCATACACTTTTTATATTCTCAGCTTCAGATTCAGATTCAGTTTATTTGCCATTTGCAGTAAAAAAAACCACATTGGAATACATTAGCAAAAAGTCTCCAGTGTGCACAGACAAATACAGACATAAAACAACATTAAAAGACAGAAATAAAACAAATAAAACAGTAAACAAGTGTCACTGTGAAATCGATCGACTAAAACAGTTTCAAAACAAGTGCAAATAAGCTTTATGACTTTTTCTGTTTATTTATGTAGTTTGTTTCATTATTATTCAATGAATTTTGAAATGTGAGTAGAGGAGTAGAGAAGAACAAGAGAGAGTAACCATAGCCACATACTGTTAACTAGCTACAAGTTAGCATTTAGCATTAAAACACTCATTGTTAGATACAGTAGCTACAATTATCATTAGCATTACAAACATAGCAGTTAGCATTAGCATTACAAACATACCAGTTAGCATTAGCCTTTCAACAAACTGCTTTCTGCTGTATTTCAAGTGTCATCAACAAGCTTTAGCACTTATTAAAACTGAGTTAAGTTAAAAACATAATTAATTACGTTCTAATCAATCAGAATCCCATTGATTTGAACGGTAGCAGCCAAAATGACAGCTCTGTTTTTCTGTATTTTTACGTATTAACATAGTCGACAACAATTTCAAGAGTAATTTCCTATATGTAACATTTTTCAATAACCGCTGACCTCTCCTTCTCTCTGTGGGGATAAAAACCTTTTCTTTGCCTTGGACTTGGATTAGCACGTTGGTGTTGTTCTGGTTCTGTTGGACGCTGCTCCACTCGGCTATAGTTGGCTTTTTAATTATGCTAAAGCTAGAAATGTTATCTTATTTTAGTATCGAGTTATTGTTCACTTATCTTCCTACTGTTCAAGAAGGTCCTGGGTTTTGATTCCACTTCCAGGCCTTTCTGTGTGAAGTTTCCATGTTCTCCCGTGTCTGCGCAGGTTTCCTCCAGGTGCTCCGGTTTCCAATACCACAACAAAAATGCACAATAGGCATGAATGTAGCGAGTGAATGGATGTATGGGGGCTTTGATGCGCCGTCGCGTTTGGAGCGAATGGAAAATTATCTGAACTCTAAACATTACTCACTACTCACTAAAGCTCCGTCTGAATTAAAGATGAGTAGGTCTGGAGATGGGTGCACAAGTGACATTGACGGATGGTTCAAAGGCAGAGGTCGATTTCCCTTAAACTTTTGGGCCTAAAGGGACTATAAAGTATCTATCTATAGTCGTAAACAGTTTTCTCCTGGGAGGGTGGACGGCGACAGGAAGAAGGTCCGATCACACAAACATTCAGCCACATTCACACCTCCAGACCCCTCCGCAGTACTTAGTAATCCTTATTTATATACCGCCTTTTCACTGCACATCGGAGTCTCAAAGCGGTTTACAATTGTGATTTTTTTTGGAGTGGGGGGCCAGTACAGGAGGCACATGCTAGAACTATTGTACATATTTTTAGTGGTAGGGGAAACCGGAGCACCCGGAGGAAACCTACGCAGACACGGGGAGAACATGCAAACTCCACTCAGAAAGGCCCTGGTCCAACCGGGATTCGAACCCAGGACCTTCTTGCTGAGAGGCGAGAGTGCTATCCACTCAGCCACCGTGCCGCCCACAGTACTGGATATGATATGGTCACAACAGTTGATTGAACAGAAAAGATGCACTGGCAAGACCTAGCAAGACCATGCTAATGTCTGTCCAAAGGAGGCTTTTGGGACACATATTTAAAATATACAAATAAAACATGTGAACAACGCTGCTCCAATTTCAGCCACCGTTTTGGATTTCAGAACACATGCATCTGCTCCACCAGCCATAACCATTCTATCCATCTTAGTCTCACAAATCATACTTCTGCTGCATTTCAATCTCAAATATATTCAGTTTCTAATAATCAAGTATGCCTTATTGTGTACATGTGCGCTATTATATGTTAGTTAGTTTATAATTGATGTGTTTCTGCTGCTGGACACCTGAATTTCTCTCCTACGGGGGATCCATAAAGTATCTATCTATAAATCTATCTTATCTGTGAATAAGACTTTGCTATTACTGCATGTTAGTTATCAGCCCGGCCCTTCTACATTCTGTTCAAATGGATCTGGTTCTGGGCGTAGAGCTTATTCTACCTCCTATTATTGTTAGGTAATGAGGTAAAATCAACCAATCGTAGAACTCGCTTTGCACATATATCCAAGATGGCGGTCGCGGCATCCAGTGATTGATTCTTTTTTTAAATACAGATAGATTTTGCTGCCTCTAGATTTTGGTTCTTTAGCCGTCCAATCAAATGCGTCCAAACTCGGCCCATGAAAGCTTGGTGCCCTCACGTATTTGGAGTTACGATGCCGTGGGTCTAAGGACAGCGGTGATGATCCAGGACACCCCACATTCAACGATATTTATGGACTCTGGACTAGACATTGGTCTCTGTCCCTAATGGACCAATGCCTCTATGTGTTTTTATCATAGAATTTCTTGTGTTGGCAATTTCGACGGTTGTGTAAAGTCCTCAGAGAAAACTACTGGTGTGATTTTGGGTTATACAAGAAGAAAAAAACTGAATTGAATTTAGTTGAATTCTTTCAAACTGTGGACAAGTCTCGCTGGTCTTAGCTGCGTTTTGACCGGAGCATGGAACAGCACTGTTTACAGACGTGGCCAGGGGCTGGAAAAGCACACACACCTGGCGGAAATCATGCCCGGAGGCTGTCACAAGCTCCCATCATCCTCACCGACCAATCAGCTGCTCCGTGACGCTGAGAAATCCCACCTGTAAATACTGCAGTACAAAGCCCAGTCCTGAACAAAGCCTCCTTGTGTGTGGCCTCATGAGGCAGAGTGGTGGTAGGAGCTGAGCATCTTGTGGTTGTGGTGGATTGATTTCATAACACAGTCACAGTCGTTGTGTGCGAGTGCGAAAGAGGCAGCGGCCACAGAGCAAAAATAACCATCTGAGCAGCTGTGAGCAAAGTACTTCTTCCAGTCGCAGTATTTCAGAGACAATGAGGCGTTTGTTGGTTTCTAAGTACGAGAGATAATGTGTACTAACTGCGGGGCAACTCTGTTTGGTCTGGATGGAAAACGTATTTTTTGCGGGATTACGAAACACCTTGATTGTGTTGCCGTTATCAAGTCAGCAAACATGTCACCTGAGCAGCGAGAACCACAGCATTTGACCACAGTTGTTATTCAATTCAATTTATTTTTGTGTAGTCCTAAATCGCAGAGGACCTTGCAAAACAGATGAATTCGCCAAAACAGATCAGAGAATCAAACAGTTCGAAGTTATGCAATGATAAAAACACATCGGTCTATAAAAGGCACAAACCAATGTTCACAAATGTTACTAAAATCCATACTTTTCGTTGAATGTGGAGTGTCCTGGATCATCGTCACTGTCCTTAGACCCTCCTGCATCGGTAAGGAAGTAAGTAAAAAATATATGGTTAAACTGGTGTATAAAAATGTAGTTTAGTTTTGCCCATTTTCAATCCCTTTCTGGGTCGGTGTTGGGTCCATAGGAGGACGGCTGCTCTTCTTCTTCTTCATCGGCTTTGCTCTCTTTCAGCGGGGGCTTCAGGCAGAGTGGGGTTAAGAGTCTTTGAGCATCCAGGGATCAAACCCACACCCCATCCACCCAGAAGACCAATACTCTCTTTGTCCCCCCTATTTTCTTTTCATGTAGCTAAAATCCAGTCATATGTTCTGTCTACACTTGTTCTTTGCTGATGCAGGAGGGTCTAAGGACAGTGGTGATGATCCAGGACACTCCATATTCAACCAAATCTATGGACGTTTATCAACATTTATGGACATTGGCAGTTGTGATTTAGGGCTATACAAAAATACACTGAATTGAAATGATAGAAGAGTCACAGAAGAACAAGAATCTGCCAGGTTTTACTGCCTGTTTTTTTGTAGTTGCAACTTTTGATTTTATGTATTTATTTCACCTTAATTTAACTAACCATTGAGATTTAGAACTTCTTTGTCAAGGCAGTCCTGTACAAAAGTCTTATTGCTACATCGTTTAGCTTTCTTACATAACTGCTCCTGCTTCTTTTGCCTCGGCGCACATTCTTTGCTTGTTTTTTCCCTTTTAACTGCCCACCGTAGCATTACTCCAGTGCTTTATCATGGCTTTTGCTTTACGAGACGTGAGTGCATCTGGCTCACAATGAAAATTAAACATTTACTCTACGGACTGCGTCAGACCCGTGCTGGCTTCACCTGATCCGCACCTGGTCCTAAACGCTGGTGTTTGTCCTCTGGCCCTGGAGGACACCCTGTACTTCCTGATCGGTGCTTCTCCACATGTTTAACTTTAAAGAGGGAGTTATTGTCAGGGAGCTCGTATCTGTGCATCAATATTTACCCTCAGGTCGTCTGCACACACTCTTAAACAGACGGACAAAGAGCTCTGGCTTTTACAAAGTGTCTGTGGATCTTATTGTCTTTGCTCTACGGAAAACGGCTGAAAGGACTCGATCTAAGTTCTTTAAAGAAACTATACCTGATTTTTTTTTTCATGAGTTCATAAAAATGCTTATTACTACATACAAGTTTAGTTGTAATCCGTAATTTAATTGAAAACTTGAGCTCATATGAATTCAGGCCGTAAAAAGTGCTGTGGAGAGACTTAGGCCTCGTCCCAATTCTCACCCTTGCCCTTAAAAAGCACACTTGCCCTAGAGTTTGCCCGTGGTAGTGGAAGGGTGTCCCAATACATAGGGAGAAGAGACGAGGGCCTTCACACCCCTAAAAACCACAGTTGAGCGCAAGTGAAGTCCAGAGCTCACTTGCGAGCGAGTGTGATCCCATGATGCATTACGATAGCTGTTGGTAAAGTAGCTGTGAGGCAAAACCGTGCCACAATGAAAGAAAACAACATGAAACACCAACGCGCAAGTTTGGGGTGAACGGGGAAGCTCTGAAACATGTGCGAGTTATTCAGAGTTTTTAATGCGTGTGTTGGTGCTGTGTGCGGTGTTGTTTGTTCCCGAAGCGGCTGCAGCGTGTGGCGTTCACTGAGGCTTCAGAGACGTGGATCCATGTTATTATTATAGATCCATGTTATTATTATAGATCCATGTTATTATTATAGATCCATGTTATTATTATAGATCCATGATATTATTATAGATCCATGTTATTATCATAGATCCATGTTATTATTATAGATCCATGTTATTATTATAGATCCATGTTATTATTATAGATCCATGTTATTATTATAGATCCATGTTATTATCATAGATCCATGTTATTATCATAGATCCATGTTATTATTATAGATCCATGTTATTATTATAGATCCATGTTATTATTATAGATCCATGTTATTATTATAGATCCATGTTATTATCATAGATCCATGTTATTATTATAGATCCATGTTATTATTATAGATCCATGTTATTATTATAGATCCATGATATTATTATAGATCCATGTTATTATCATAGATCCATGTTATTATTATAGATCCATGTTATTATTATAGATCCATGTTATTATTATAGATCCATGATGTAGTTCAGAGCATCGCTTTGTGATCCGCGGGACCGCGGCTGTACCCGTCTGTGTCTGTGCGCGTATGTGTATGTGCATGTGTCTGGCAGTGTGGTACGTCTCTGTGCGCGTACGTGTATGTACATGTGTCTGTGTGTGTGCGTGTGTGTCTGCCTCTATGTGTGTACTTGTGTGTCTGTGTGTGTATGTGTGCGTCTGTCCCTGACTCCCTGAGTGCGTGATGTGCAGCAGTTCTGTACCTAATTATAGCAAAACTTCATATGAAATAGAATAAAACACTTTCCATTTTGATAAATACTGTGTTTCATAAAGTCATGTCTGTGTCAGATCTTATCTGTGGTGAAATCACACACTTTGATAATGTGTGTGACGTGGAACATGTCTGCTGCGTCATTTGCATATCGTCCCCTAGATCCAGGTATGTCCCAATTCTTAGGGAGAATGTTGTGAGTGCACTCCCTACTGGGAAGGCACTTTGCTGGTGAGGGCACTCACACCTAAGGGCAAAGGTGAGAATTGGGACGGGCCTCCTCCAATCACAGAACGAGGCTGCGTCCTCTAGCCTCTATAGCGCTGCTAAACACAGTAGCATGTTAGCATAAGTGGCTATAACTCCTCTGGCTGTAACTGCAGACACAGCAAAACAGTCCAAACCACACAACAGTGAGGAAGAGAAGAGGAACTAAAGCCAAAACATGATCAAAGAAGAAATCAAGCCCTGAACAAGCCCTCGGACTATCTAAGCTCGGACTATCTAAGCTCGGACTATCTAAGCTCGGACTATCTGAGCTCGGACTATCTACGCTCGGACTATCTACGCTCAGACTATCTGTGCTCGGACTATCTACGCTCGGACTATCTACGCTCGGACTATCTACGCTCAGGCTATCTATGCTCAGACTATCTATGCTCGGACTATCTACGCTCGGACTATCTACGCTCGGACTATCTACGCTCGGACTATCAACGCTCGGACTATCTACGCTCGTACTTTCTATGCTCGGACTACATTGATGGTTGTACAGCTTAAGTTGCGCTAATGCTAATGTTAGCATATGTATCAGATCACAAAAAAACTAGATGGCTCTGTGTTATGAGAGCGTAGGGGAAATGAAAAGCCTGTGAGCGATTTGGGGGCGGGGTTAAACATTCAAACCTTACAGAAACGGGTATAGCTCCTTTAAGATAAAAAGTATTGGGTTCTTCTATTCCAGACAATATAAGGTTTTGTGATGTTATTTTCTTTTTTTATCGTTTAGCCTCAGATTTGTGGCGGAAAAAATTGATTCTGTTCAGTATCGCGGTATTTTACGCTCACAATTAAATCTATACATTAGAGAAAAGTATTGTGATATTTGATTCAATACTGATAGAGTTTCTGTAACTCTATGATGTCTGCTTGTTGTGACTCTATGACATCTGCTTGTTGTGACTCTATGATGTTTGCTTGTTGTGACTCTATGATGTTTGCTTGTTGTGACTCTATGACGTCTGTTGTAACTCTATGATGTCTGCTTGTTGTGACTCTATGATGTCTGCTTGTTGTGACTCTATGATGTTTGCTTGTTGTGACTCTACAAAGTCTGCTTGTTGTGACTCTATGATGTCTGCTTGTTGTGACTACAAAGTCTGCTTGTTGTGACTCTATGACGTCTGCTTGTTGTGACTCTATGATGTCTGCTTGTTGTGACTACGAAGTCTGCTTGTTGCGACTCTATGATGTCTGCTTGTTGTGACTCTATGATGTCTGCTTGTTGTGACTCTACGAAGTCTGCTTGTTGTGACTCTATGATGTCTGCTTGTTGTGACTACGAAGTCTGCTTGTTGTGACTCTATGACGTCTGCTTGTTGTGACTCTATGACGTCTGCTTATTGTGACTCTACGAAGTCTGCTTGTTGTGACTCTATGACGTCTGCTTGTTGTGACTATGACGTCTGCTTGTTGTGACTCTATGATGTCTGCTTGTTGTGACTCTATGACGTCTGCTTGTTGTGACTCTATGACGTCTGCTTGTTGTGACTCTATGACGTCTGAGGCTTTGTCCCATTGGCAAATCTCATTCATTTTTACCAAATTTTTGATTTTTTGATTTTTTGAACTTATATTTTTTATCACTTTTTGCAGTGCTGAGCAAAAAGTGTGTGTCTCTCAACTGCAAAGTACAAAAATTAAGTAAAAGTGAAGTCTTTTTCAAAATTCTACTGTAATAAAAACGTATTGAAAACAGAGAAACAAAAAAACCATAGTTACAGCTTTTTCGATGGATTTTCCCCAAAATGATGTAAGATTCTGCTCCAGTCTGACCTGGGGCTGAACTCACTGTACTCATAAAAGTGAAAGTGTAGTCACAAGTTCAGTCACCTCCGAACCCACGCTTCACTGGATGCTCTGAAGCCGAGGTCGTTCTCCCCAAAGTCACCACAAATTATGTTCAAAAACAAAAAAAAGATTAATTATTGATTTATTAATACGCAATAAAAACACAGAAAATGTTTGTCCAGGGCCTTGAAGAACAGCAGACTAAGAGAGAGAGAGAGAGAGAGAGAGAGAGAGAGATAGAGACATGAGAGAAAGAGAGACAGAGAGAGACAGAGAGAGAGAGACAGAGAGAGAGAGACAGAGAGAGAGACAAGAGAGAGAGAGAGATAGATAGAGAGAGAGAGATAGATAGATAGAGCGAGACAGAGAGAGATAGATAGATAGAGCGAGACAGAGAGAGATAGAGATAGAGAGAGAGAGATAGAGATAGATAGAGAGAGAGATAGATAGAGAGAGAGAGACAGAGAGAGATAGAGACAGAGAGAGAGAGAGATACAGAGAGAGATAGAGACAGAGAGAGAGAGAGAGACAGAGAGAGATACAGAGAGAGACAGATACAGATAGAGAGAGAGACAGGGAGAGATAGAGACAGAGAGAGATAGAGACAGAGAGATAGAGACAGAGAGAGATAGAGATAGATAGAGATAGATAGAGATAGATAGATAGATTATTGGTCGCTGTATGCAGGTGTCCAGCAGCAGAATCACATCCAAACAAACAAAGAAATACATTAGTAAATAAACAAAAGTGACTAATACAGTAATAAATAAAGTGTCCATTGTGTGTTGTCGCCGTGGACATTCTCACAAACACAAACCTTACACACATTTCCAGGTCCATGGTTTTAGGGACGCCCGCCGTGGTCTTTTTGCGGTGGGACAGTGAAGCATTTGCCAGTGGAACACAACATGTCAGAGGCGAACGCTAAGCAGCAGAGGTCACACACAGACACACATCACTGAGACTGAGCAGGCAGCAGCAGTCAAACAGACTCCTGCCAGATCCACGGAGAGAACCAGCACTAAAGCCCTCTCTCTGCTTTGTGCTGGTTCCACCCATACATGGTGCTACTGTACGCATCGAAAAGAACCAGCACTAAACCCGTCTCTCTGCTTTGTGCTGGTTCCACCCATACATGGTGCTACTATCTATACGCATCGAAAGAACCAGCACTAAACTCGTCTCTCTGCTTCGTGCTGGTTCCACCCATACATGGTGCTACTGTACGCATCGAAAGAACCAGCACTAAACCCCTCTCTCTGCTTCGTGCTGGTTCCACCCATACATGGTGCTACTGTACGCATCGAAAAGAACCAGCACTAAACCCGTCTCTCTGCTTCGTGCTGGTTCCACCCATACATGGTGCTACTGTACGCATCGAAAAGAACCAGCACTAAACCCGTCTCTCTGCTTCGTGCTGGTTCCACCCATACATGGTGCTACTATCTATACGCATCGAAAGAACCAGCA